CTTAGCAGCCCACCTGCTCCTGGTTGCCTTTCCAAAGAACTGCTCTGTGCCCACAACTTGGGGGCCTCTTCATGACTGGATTGCCTGGAGCTTTGCAGCCTTGATAAAAGGCACGCACCCTTCCCAAGATCCATATGGGAATGGCCTGCCACCTTCACTGGCAGAGCTGGCTGGCCTGCCCTTGACACCAGGCAACCACAGAGCTTGCATCTACAGCATACAGGGTGACCAAGAATTCTTCTCAAACATCTTGAAGATGCCACACTGGCAAAACAAATTCCCCTGTGCAGAATGCGATGCCCAAAAGCCTGCATTCAAGGGCATTAAGTGTCCTGATGGGAAGAGTGTCAAGCTTCTCAGGCAAGCTGATCAAAAGTTTGTATATGTCTCCCCTGAGCAAGCCCTCCTTGTTAAAAGGAGTGCCCATCCACTTTTTCAGGTGCCAGGCATCAGCGCAGCCATGGTGCGAGGAGACTCCCTCCACATCCTGTACTCCAGAGGAGTTGCTTCACACCTTGCAGGCTCTTTGATCCATTACTTGTGCTACTTTGATGGTGTGAAAGCAAGGCAGGCAGTGCCACCCAGCCAAAGGCTCCAAAAGCTGTTTGGCAGAATTAAGGAGCTCTATGTCCAAAATCAGGTCTCCTCCAGGTTGACCAACCTTCGCCTCTCCATGACTTGCCCTGATGCTGCCAAGCCTCACAAAAGCTTTGCGTGCCTTGAGGCAAAGGCTGCTGAGACTAAGCACCTGCTGCCCTGTCTGTTGCAGGTGTTGCGAGAAGCTCTGCCAGAAGATGACCCCATTCATCAAGCCATGCTGGCCTGCCTAGAAGCATTGATTCAGATTGCTGATCTGTATGATGCAATTGGGCTTTTTCCTACTTCTGAGGAGTTCTTGCAAGCCGCCAACCTTGCCAAAAGGTTCTTCAGCAACTACCATGATCTGAACCAGTGGGCCTTGCTAAAAGGCAGAAAGCTCTTTCACATCACTCACAAATTCCATTCCTTTCATCATCTCATCCTGAATTCAAAATATTTGAATTATAGAATCCATTCCAATTACAGGGCAGAGCACTTTGTGGGCAGAATGAGTGTGTTGACACATTCCACTGCCTTTGGGGTAAAATCCTCCAAGCTCAGCTCCAAGCTTGCAGTGAAATATAAATTTCTTCTTCACCTGCAACTCAGCAGGCCAGGTTTTGGCCAAGAGGGACAAGCCAGCTGACTATTGACTGCACAAGCTTCTGCTATAGAGGGTGCCCTTGCTAAAAGGGTGGCAGGCTGCTCTCCTTGTCCTGCTGCTGCAGGAAATGCCCTTGCTAAAAGGGTGGCAGGCCCCCATCCCTTTCCTGCTGCTACAGGAATGCCCTTGCTGAAAGGGTGACAAGAAAGCACCTTCTCCTGCTTCTGTAGGCATGCCCTTGCTGAAAGGGGGACAAGCTCCTACACTGCCATTGTGGAAAAAAGGGGTGTGCCGCATTGCAAACCTTATTGATATTTGCTTTTGATTTACCATGTAAAAATGAGGACACGTTTAATTGATTTGTTTCGCAATCTTGCTTTTGATTTTGGTCGCCTAGAACCACATGTTTCTTATTGAAAAAAAGGGCATATCAATAGAACAAGAAACCTATTGATTTAAATCAATAGCCGATGCCCAGGGATGCACACATATAAATCTGCAAATGAATACTCCATGGGGTGCTTGACATACGTAGCGCACCCTAGAGTGAGTTAAGGTTTTGGCTTTCTTTAGCTTAAACCAATAGCTAAATCTAACACCAGCCCTGGACAAACTACGATCTCACCGAGTCGGCCAGGAGGCCGTTGAGTTTGGCATTTTTGTTTTTCCAACTAGGTTTAGCTGTTGGGGGGGGTTCTCAAATAGGGATCCCCGAAAGGCCGGCCGCCTGTCCTGTTGGTTTCCCAACGGCGCGGTTTTCAAATCGCATGGGAGTGGACGCGCGACCTGCGTGTCCATTCCGTGACAGGCGCACGCTTGCCCTGAGGTGCGGATTTTGTGGCAGGCGCAGCGCTTTTGCAAGGTCAGGCGCAGGTAGATAGATAGGTAGATAGATGGACAGGTAGATGATAGATAGACAGTTAGATCTAGCGGGAAGAGAGGGAGGCAAAGACACAGAGAAAGAGAAAGAACGAAGGGAGTTAAACAAAGAAAGAAACAAAGAAAGGAAGAAAGCCAGAAAGAAGGATATAAGTAAAGCAAGAAAGATGGAAATAAAGAAAGGAATACACAAAGAAAAAGGAAAGATGGACAGAAAGCAAGCAAGAAAGAAAGAAAGAAAGAAGGAAAGAACAACAGAACAAATATCATAAACAAATGAATAAAAGCAACGAGAGAACAAAGGAAAGAAATGAAGAAAGACAGAAAGAAGAACAGAAAGAAAGAACAAAATACAGACAGAAGGAAACAGAAAGAAGGGCTGGAAAAAGAGAAGCGGAGAGAAAGAGGAAGAGGAAGAGAAGAGAAGACAAGAGAAGGAGAAGAGAAAAGAATGAAAAAGATAAGAGAATGAGAAAGAGACAGCGAAAGACAAAGAGGAAACAAAAAAAGGAAAGATAAAGAGAAATACAAAGAGACTAGAGCAGAAAGAGCAAGAGAAAGAGAAGGAGAAAGAGAAAGAGAACGAGGGAGAGAAAGAGAGGAAGAGAGAGAACGAGAGAGAGAGAGCGAGAGAAGAACAGACACGAGATGCTCAGAGAAAGAAGGAGAGACAAGAGATGCTTCACGAAAACAACTCATCTCCTATAGGCGCATGATTAGTTAGAAACGTCCGTCTTCCAGTTTTGCTGGAGCATACCTGGTACAATAGTATGCGGCTGATAAGGGAAACCGGTATAAACATATTTCGGGCACGCGCCCGAGGTGGAAGAAAGTACTTTGAATGAGGTAAGCTGGGTTTGTTTAGCTGTTAACCAGGCCTAGGGTGCTCCGGGAACAAGATGGGAAACCCAAAAACATGTTTACAAATCGATTGGTTGTGGGCATATGGGCCAAGCTCGAGGCCCCCGGGTTTACTCGCAACCTTCCGTAGGCCTGAGCAAGATTGGTGATTTGGACGCTTGTTAGGGCTGTCGGCACGAGCGGAAACTTTCATTTTGCATGATTTGAAAATCAGCAAGGAACATCTAGGTATGGGCATGTTCTTTGTTGAGGGTACCTCTTCTTGTTGTTGGTTTGAAAAGAAACCACCACAGCCATTTTGGGAAGCCGGTTCAGTAGGTAGCTCTTCCCGGATTGATTGCATTAAAGCGCAGGTCATGTTCCACGTTTCCTTCCAAAGGTACCGTTTCCCAAACCCTTCGCAGTCCGAAGTCTGTCAGACTGAAGGCGCGAACGTGGCAAGACCTCTCCCATGATTCTGAGGTCCATGAACATCTCTCAGTACACCCGATTACACGGAGAATATGTAGCCCTTTTATTTCTGCACAGAATCCCAGTTGTTCAATCCGAGATGGCAGAACCGTTCTGGTAGTGGCAAAATCCACTTAGGACTTGAGGGTAAAGGCCTTTCCTTCTTTCCTCGCTTCTCTTGGCTTCTCGCACCCAGGCTCGGAAGAAGCCCGAAGGCGCAGTGATGGGTGTGATGGTTTTCGAAGATTGCCCTGACCTTGAGACCCTTTGACCACTTCCTTTCTTGGAGGGAAGCTCATCCAAGCACGGAACCCCCGGAAACTGCGGCGCGTTTCCCTTCGCCTAGATTTGGAGCCGGAGAATGCAACCACGATCTCAAGAACTCGGAGCCCCCCCCTGGCATTTGAATGGTTCTTCCGCTGGTATCGCTCAAAGACAAGCAGGGCGAAGAAAAGCACCCGCCTGTTCACAAACACGGCCTGGTCCGATGGGGAATAAATGAACTATCCTTCGTGGGTTTCTCCATGCCTACTGAGATCCATCACCGAGCCCAATAGAGGGTCCCTTTCAGAGGCTCTCACTTTCCATGTCGTGCATTGCCCCCCTCCCCACATCCCCCTGTGCGGTGGATGTTCCCAAAGACAAGGATCCCCGCTTTTGTGTTGTTGAAAGGAATGCGTTTCTCACAGCAACCAAGAGGATACACACTTTGCCATGTCCTGTGGAACATTTCCGCCTTGGCCCATGTGGGTTTTGCCTTGCCATCAAGGTCAGGAGGACAGCGACTCAGAGGCGCGAATTCGGGTTGTCTGGGTGTGTGGCGTGTCGCGCAAAAAAGGCGTGAACTTCAAGACCATCTCAGGTTCCGATACACTTGTCGCTGCCTGACCGTTGGCTTCAGTGCCACCAATGACTTTCCTCTTGCTTCATGGGTTCGGGACCTGAAAAAAATGGAAGCGCCCAAAGAAAAGAATTGACTCCATGTGTGTTAAAATGCACTGCTGCTACGGATTTATTTGAGAAATGGGCTCAACAAATGGCGCCTCCCCTCTCAAGGTTTTCTCCCGGCAATGGGCTCTCCAGAATTGAGCTGCCATACACAAGCGCCAAAATAAGGGGTCCCCCCCTACTATTACTCTGACACAGCGCAAGTTGTGCTTGGAACCGCCAAGACCCTTGCTGGGATGGCTTCGGTTTTCCTTTTGGCGTGCCGCACGCCAAAAAGAAACCACGCCCACTATAAATCGACAGGCGGTGCGGTGTAAATCCACCAAAGGTTTGCTGAAGTGGAAACCAGGGCGGAGCGGTGATCGTCTTTTTCTTGTTCAAACCCTAGTGTATTTTTTTGCAGTTTTAGCTTGTGTGTTGCTCCCGCCTCCGAATACCAAACAGCTGAACGTGTGCAGGCTTCAACGCTTTGGTCTTGGACAAGTGGAGTTGTGCTTTGGTGCATTTTGCTTGGATGTTAGGACTTGAACTTTTTGCTAACTACTGGGTTTCCCACTAAACCACCAAAAGTTGAAAACTTTTAGCAGAGCAGATTTCGCAAGCGAGTGTGTGGGCTTCAGGTTGGGAAGCTCAAGGAAACCACGTGTTCACCCGCGAATTGTCTGAGGTAGAGCGAGCCATGCGGGAGCACCGGCTCATTCAGAGCCTCCGGGCAAAGGTGCAGGCGGAAGTTTCCGGGGTTTCGATCGCGGTGAAACGGGCCTGTCCTTGGGAACCGATCTTTTAGTTGGGTTTCTCATTCTTTGAGTAGCTTGTTGGTTTTGTGGCTAACAGAAAGCTTGGGCTGTTTCTTTGGCAACCCACTCAGGAAGTAAGCGAAAGGGACACAAACATCAGAAAGGAGGTTTTGTCTCAACCAACCCATCCTAGCCCTCCCACCCTTATCTTGACTTCCTGCTAAGAATTCGGCCTCAACTCAGCAGGTCCCCGAATACCTACGGGGGCCGAAATATGTGCACTTCGATCTTCAAGTCACTGGCGGTTTGAGGTACGGGACAAGAGGGACTGGACCCGAAGGTCTCAGAGTTGTTGAGATCTGCCTGGCGCCCTGAAGTGTTTGTTGCCCTAGGGGGTTCAAAGGACTTCAAAGTTCTTTTCCCCAGAGAGCTATGTCGACAGAGCTATTTGTGATTCCCCAGCTGAAAGCTATGGTCGAGGGTCAGAGCTTGGCGTTGGCTGTGGCTTTTCTGACCTTGGCTGGATTTCGTTTTTTTGGTCCCCCCGTTTAGTTGTTGAATGGCGCCCTTTTTTTGGTTTGTTTGGTGGGTTGGCCACTTCAAAAATTTCCTCCAAAAGGTTCCAACGGGACACTCGACAACTGGACTTTCTTTTTTGCACGGATGATTTTTGAGGGCTATAGACACAGTGACAAAGGCGATGTTTGTTAGCGATTGTTTTTCCACCAAATCAACAAGCTTCATCCTGAGACCATACAGGGCACTATTATTCAAAGGACGACACCGTCATTCACCGACCAAAGGGGCCTCCTAGTTCAGCAAATTGCTGCGAGCTTTCTTGAGCAATGCGCTCAAATATGAGATCCCCCTCTATGTCTGATGCACAACGTGTGTGTGTGTGTGTGTCTGTGTGTCTGTGTGTCTGTCTGTCTGCGTGTCTGTGTTTGTGTCTGCATGTGTGTCGTGTGTGTGTGGGTGTGTGTTGTGTGTGTGTGTGTCTGTGTGTCTGTGTGTCTGTGTGTCTGTGTGTGTCTGTGTGTGTCTGTGTGTGTGTGTGTTGTGTGTTGTGTGTCTGTGTGTTGTGCGTGTGCGTGTGCGTGTGCGTGTGCGTGTGCGTGTGCGTGTGCGTGTGCGTGCGCGTGTGCGTGTGCGTGTGCGTGTGCGTGTGCGTGTGCGTGTGCGTGTGCGTGTGCGTGTGCGTGTGCGTGTGTGTGTGCGTGTGCGTGTGCGTGTGCGTGTGCGTGTGTGTGTGTGTGTGTCTCTCTGTGTCTCTCTGTGTCTCTCTGTCTCTCTGTGTCTCTCTGTGTCTCTCTGTGTGTCTGCGTTTCTGTGTCTATGTGTTTGTGTGTGTTTTTGTTTTAGGGTACCTTGGGATGCCTTAAAAATGCATTCCTCAGGAAACCACCATTTTTGTTTGGGGTGGCACTATGTGAACACGCACCCATGTCCACCAACATGGTTTAAGCCCGTGCTGACCAGGCCCGCCCGCAGTGCGAGCCTGTGGATAGGCTCGCGCTAGGGAGTGAGCATCATTGTATTTGAAGACCTTGCTTGTCTCTTTTCCACCTAGGAGCGCCATGGTTTTGAGTCTGTTTTCGGGGCATCGAGCCAGACACCGGGGTTGTTTCCCCATAAACGACTACTTGCGCGAGCTTTGGTCGTAAAATGGAGCCAGTTCTCCTGGGTATGAAAGGGTTTCTCTGCATTATAGCTTCTCAAGTTCCCTCTTCTAGTTGGCTCCAAGCAGGGAGCAAAAGGAAAGCAGCCTAAAGGAGTCCATTTCGAGAAACACCCATTATGTGAGTGCATTTCATAACTTCCCTTTTCACCTTGGTCAAGAGGAGACAGCGTTTCCTGACCCTGGTGTGGTTTCAAGACCTTAGTCTTTTTGGGGTGCGTACCTGCTCTTCGAAAGGCCCTTTGTTTAAGTCGAGTCCCTGGCCTATAGCAGGGTCCTGGAGAATTGTGTTTTGGTTCCAATTCGCTTGTTGGGTCAATGTAAAGTACAGGTTTCCAGCTCTAGCTGAGAAATCGCAACTTTGTAGTACCAGTCTGGTACGCGAAGTACAGGTTTCCAGCTGGAAAATCTTGACTTTGTAGTACAAGTCTAGTACGCGAAGCACGGGCTTCCAGCTCTAGCCAACTTTGTAGTACAACTCTAGTTCGTGAAGTATAAGTTTCCAGCTCTAGCTGGAAAATCGCAACTGTTGCAGTGCAAGTGCACGAAGTACAGGCTTCCAGCTCCAGCTGGAAAATCGCTACAGGTCTAGCACGCGAAGTACAGGCTCCAGCTGTAAAATCGCAAATCTGACAAGTCTAGTACGTGAAGTACCGGCTTCCAGCTCCAGCTGGAAAATCGCGACTTTGTAGTATAAGTCTAGTACGCAAAGTACAGGTTTCCTGCTCGAGCTGGAAAACCGCAACTTTGTGTACGCGAATTGCAGGCTTCCAGCTCTAGCTGGAAAATCGCAACTTTGTAGCACAAGTCTAGCACGCTTAAATCGCAACTTTGTAGCACAAGTATAGTATGCGATCTCAACTTTGAAGTACAAGTCTAGCGCGCGAGGTGCAGGTTTCCAGCACTAGCTGGAAAATCGCAACTTTGTAGTACAAGTAGAGTGCGCGAAGTACAGGTTTTGAGCTCCAGCTCGAAACTCTAATTATTTTCTTGGGCTTGCGCAAAGTGATGTGCGTTCGGGTTCGTGGGCTCTGTCTAGTTTTTTGTTGTTGTCTCTTCTCTCTTCTCTTCTCTTCTCTTCTCTTCTGATTCTCTCTTGTTTTTCTTCTTTTCTTGTCTCCTCTCTTCTCTCTCACTCTCTCTTTCTCTCTCTCTCTCTCTTTTTCTCTCTCTCTCTTCTCTCTTCCCTTCTCTCTTCTCCAGGCGGTTGCTCCTGTCCAACGGCAGCCGTCCTGGCAATAGGAGGCATCCCCACACCCACATATATATATATATATATATACACATGCATACACACGGCCGCTGCCAGAGGCGAGAGAGATCGCTGCAATGTGGTTCCGATATACGGCCTCGACTCACGGACTGATGCATGTGGGCAGAGGCGTGTACTCATGTTGAAGTACAAGCAGCGGTTTGGTGCACGCATTGCGTGGACGCTGCTGGGTGTGCCCCATACTGGAATGCAAGGATGGCCAGACAGTGCGTGTGGTTCATGTTTGCGGAGGATTCGATATGTTACCCTTGCAGATGTGTGGAAGAGGGTGGAGGATAGGCCGCATTGTGTAGCTGCCCGGACAGCAGTGCAGTGTGGTTGGGCTACAGATGCATTCCTGCGTTGCAGGTGCCTTTTTTCAATGTGAAGACTCATCTACTAAGTGCCCTATTTGGCTGACCGTGTCAAAGCGTGACAACTACAACATTTAATTTAATTGAGGCCGACCCGGAATGGCCCGACCATGTGGTGTTTTAAGTGTCCTCGCGTGTCACTTGCGTGTCAGTGAAGTCACTTGCCCCTTGAAGTTCACGTGTTGCTGCGGCTCGATTTGCCCAGCGTCCCCACCCCCTGTGAGTGTCATTCACATTCACGTGTCGCTCATAGCACCCCAAAATTGAATCGGGCACTGAATAGAAGCTGGACATTTTGTTTCTACGGCCACTTTTCTTGCAACGCAGTCGATGTCACGCGCCGTAGCCACTTCTAGGCGGGCAGTGAAGCAAGCTGCTTTGGTGCGCAGCCCAGACTCACCGATGACCAATGTGGACGCTGGATCCGCCTGGGTTTGATGCAACTATGTACTTGGCGCCCCGTTGTCCATATTGGCATCAGTTGTTTTGTTGTGGTCGAAACTACAACACAAGTTCCTCTCGCGCTTGGGAAGCTGAGTCGCGGCCCCCGAAGAGGCGGTTGTTGACAAATCGATTTGAATGATGGCTACTTTATAATACTGTATATGCATTAGGTTGCCTCCAAAAAGAATCGCTTTTGTGACGGTCAGCGGTCAGCACAAGCAGGCCTGTATGTTGTCACTGGGGTTTGATTCTTTTGTCCCTGAATGAAGAAAACCATGGCCCAACGCTCAGCTGTGTCGTAGCAGTGTGCTTGCTTGGGGGTGTTCAATGGCCATGCAACCCCCATGATTTGCATGGAACCAGAAAGACCACCAGTTTTGTGAATAGTGCGTATCCTATGATTTTTCACACACGCATTGCCATACAAAACAATCAAGCTTGCAGGAGGTCAGCGATTCTAAGGATATGAGGAGCATTCAGAAGATTGATAGTGCTGGCACGGGCGATTGGACTTGCAAACCTGTGAAGAAATGGGAGTGTGATGATCCGAAAGCACGGCGTAAGCTGTCGCAGAAGGCCAAGGTTAACGACACGAAAGTAGTCTTGAGCCTTCCGGAGTTTGACAGGATCTTGACAATGAGAACATTGGGTTCGGATGCTTGACGACCTTAAGATCGTGACTGAAGGTGACAAACGGTCAATGGTCTGGCTCTACTGGCGAGAGAATCCCTATCTTCATGCAGCCTCGTGCACCAGGTACGAAGATGACGACGATGTGTGGGAAGATTATGTCGGGATGATGGATCAATTGAAGATCTGGAACCTGATAGTTGGGAGGACGGAACTCTGAAGATGCCATGTGTACACCGTGTGCCAATGTTCACAGAGAGAAGTTCAAAGAGAAGTTTCCGCGATTTCACAATGCGATGGTTTCAAGGCTGGTGGGGAAGAAGGATCAAAGCTATTCAATAAGAATGGTCTGGTTTACACGCTATTCAAAAAGAATGGTCTGGTTTACACAATGTTTTTGACATGAAGAATGTCCGAGAGTACGATGACGTGCGAGCAGAAGCTCGTCGTCTTCAAGAAGTTGTTCATTCCGCCAGGGTCCATGGCATAATGGTGGAAAAGAACGATCAACTACCTGCCGACGAATTCAAGTACCGAGTGGTGTTGTTGGGAATCGCAAGTAAAGGATCAGGATATGGCTGATGCCATTTTTCATGATCTAGGCAATAGCCGGCAACGTTCGAAGCATCACGTTGGGCTGACTTCCTAGGATGTGTTGAAGGATGGGACGGCAGGTTCTAGTTGCCGATGCAATCCAGGCTTACATCCAAAGAAGGTCACCCCTGACGCTGGGGCATTTTGGGAAGAACATTGCCACGCGGCGGGTTTCGTGCCTGTGGGGGCAGAATGGCCATCCGTTTATGTAAGGAGCTGAACTTGCTGCTGGTCGTCTATGTGGATGATTTCAAGATGTCAGGTCCCAACAAAATCTGAGAAGTTCTCACTGAGAAGGGGCGGGATCTCCTGAGACGCGAAGGACCATCCAGCACGAAGACCGTATACCGGCAGCAAACACGTCGAGTGCACGTGGTGTAAACACACATTCAACCCCGATGCCCCGTTCATTCCAGGTGAGGCAGACGAGCCGGACGCGCAGAAGCTCATGCAAGGGGAACTTGCACCACACGCAGCTAGCGTGCTCATGAAACTACGCTACGCGGCACGTCCAGCAAGGTTCGATTTGCTCCGTCCAATCAATTCATTGGCGCGTCACGTAACCAAGTGGAGCAAAGAAGATGCCAAGCGACTGCATCATTTGAAGTGTTACGTCAGTTGGTCCAAAAAGAAGAAATTGGTCGGGTGGGTTGGTGATCCATTAGATCAAATTCAGGTGGCCGTGTGTGCAGACGCAGATTTTTCGGGATGTGTCGATTCCCTTCGGTCAGGGCCAGGTGAATTCGCATGGCAAGCATACTCGCTTTCCGTAAGTAGGCTAATAGCAAGAGACAATCTTGTGTGAGTTGCTCTACGCCAGGGGCAGAAATTGTGGCAACTGAATGTCGACAATCGATTGCTGTGGCAAGGACTGGTAAGAATCCGACAATGCGGCATCTGGAAAGCACCCGGACCCATGGCATCAGCATTGCCTGGCTCCATGAAATGTTCAATCGTGAAGAATACGCCCGGGTTTAAGAGTTATCATCTAAGATGGCAGCCGACATTTACACAAAGGCTTTTCACGATCCTATTCGGTGGAAGCACGCGTGCATGTTGGTCAACATCTTTGACAGGGTGATCTGAACAATTCGGCAACATGTGGGTTCCTCATCCCGAGACTCAAGCTCCTATTTGGCGTTCGGAAGATGTACGCAACCAACGACCACCATCGTCCTCGTTTCCGGGTCTTATTTTCTTGTGTCTGGACATCTTGCTTGGACGTGATGCCTGGCTTGTAAACCTGCTTAGGCAAAATCATCCATTACCTGCCCAACGTTGCGGCGTCGACTCCCAATCATCCCAACAACGTCATCAATTACTGGGTGGATCGTGCTGTGTTCTTGCGCAAGGAAGCTGGCCAGGTTCCAGCCAACGACAAGCTCCCCAAAGCCTGTCACCGCTCAGGAACAACCACCACGGTCACGCCGGAATCACTACTGTTTGGCAAGTGGTTTATCATCACACACCCGCAGGAAGTTGTTGCAACCGACTGGCGCCACAAAAAATGCCCTGTTGATTTCAACCGGGTAGACCTGCTTGAAGTCCTGATCCAACAACTCTTGTTGGAAAGCAAAGCACCGCGGAGTCCAATATCTCTGTGTGACTCAACAATGATGGCACACAATGCCAGTTTCATAATAGGATTGCTCGAGGGTTCTTGAACCAGTCAACATGTGATGACTGACCAATTGCCTCACAAATGCCTTCAAAGTATCGACATGTCTTGAACCCATGCATGCAGCACTCTATGAGCCAACGGCAGAGAGATGGGGAATATACCTCAGTTCCTTCCGTTTCACATCCTGCGTAAGGAGCACGTTCGTGAAAACCATCACGTTTGAGCTCGAGGTCCCTTGGCTTACCGAGGTTCCATAAAAGACACGACCAGGGTTTTTTGATCGCCCCGCCCCCGCCCGTACTGTTCAACAACTCTGCAAACGAGTCGTTCGAATAAGCATGGGGGCTGGGGGGGAGGGAGGGGAGGGGGAGGTTTGGGCTCCCTCCCCCTCCCCTCTTCCAGCCCCCATGAAATAAGCACAGCCTGTTGGTAGTTCCAAGAGGGCCCCGCAGTGTTGGCGCTCAAACATTACCTCAGTGAGTGCTTTGAACAATTTCCAGAAAATGGTCTTCTTCTGCTCGATCTTGCGCAACGTCTCTCGATCCGCCAGTGCACGGACCCGCAAAGAAAATTGTAGCCTTGTTGGATCTGAGGGCTTCGGTGACTCGGTACCCATACTCTCCAATGTTGAAGTCTTCCTATTCCGTAATAGTCATCAAATGGAGTTTCCCCGTCCCTTTCACCTACGAAATGGTTCCTGAACCCAGCACATGCCAGGACCAGCGTGGGGCGCTCCCTTAGTGGCTCATGAAACGACACGAGTACATCGGAACAAGTTCAAATAGGTCCGGGGTACGGAAAACGGCGTTCTTGCCTTCTTGCCACTCTGCCTGAGAAATTCGACCTGTACCATTGTATTTGCCTCATTGTTCAGTTTATGGCTCCGCGACACATAGCAGGCGCACCATGTATCACGCAAAATGTCGCTCTTTTGTATGTGTGGCGCATGCTTCATTTGCTTGTTGTCAGTCTTGAGCCGTTCGACATGCGTAGGCCTCCCCCCATAGACAAGGAAAGTTATTGCCTTGAGCACCGTCAGCCTGCTCCCATTACGGCCTGTGGCACCAATAATCCATTGCCCCAGGCCGGGGATTTCGGTCTTCCCCTCCGCCCATCGTTTGGGTCCCGCCACGCTCTACACTGCTTTAGTTGATCACACGGGGTTTGGCAAGACCATGCTGTCGAGATACAACGTCAAGTACGACTCCGCGCGGGCGAGGACAAGAAATGACGACTTTCAGGCAGTCTTCAATCAGAGGAGTGTCGAAGACCCAATTTCTGGGAATGCAACGACGAACGCTAGGCAACTGCTCATCTTTGCGATGAGGAGGATCAGCCGTATGACCCCGTACCCACTGGAGCATTTCACATCCTTCAGTCACACATGGCAGCCGACGACAGACAAGGTGTAGTGGAAGGGGCCCAGAACGCCCTCCTTACGCTTCTATTCTTTTGCACCTGGCGAGGATCGATCAATTTCGAATTTCTGGGGTACAATTCTCAGTGGATCCAAAGAGAGATTCGCAATCCAGGAGTGACTGGTGCAAAGATATGCCCAGCCGGCCATTGCAAAGCTGAGAGGCGCCGGAATACCCGAAGACCTGGTGAGCTACAACATTTTGGGAGCTGAGAACAGGCAGTGGGGCGCCATCATCAGCTAAGGGATCAGTTTGCGGACTTTTTGCGAGTGACCGAATCTGAGATTTAATGCCAACCCAAGGGCGATCGACAAGTTCTGCTTTGCGGCAGACGACGACAAGAACCAGAGGGACATTCCGGCCGGCGTGAAGGTGAACCTCCCTAAGTGGTAGTGTTGTTTTTGGACGCGCCGCGGCCAAGTTTGCTTGACCATATGTCAAGGCACACTATTTTTTGGGGGCCCCATGGAATGTGCCGCGACGTGCCGCGTCTTTCCTGCGGAGCAGCGCATGTGCAGAAAAATCCTGAGACTAGAAAATTGCGAGCGGAGTCAAAAACAAAAAACCTGGCCAGAAGAAATTTGTCGCAGTCGAAAGGGGGAAGGTGGGAAGCAAAACCAACTATACTTCACAGAACAACGCAAGCGGATTACGCCAAAGCTTCCTGCAGAGATACACATGCAGCAGCTGCTGCCAAAAACCTCTAAGCCTTCGCGTGAGCTTTGTGCCTTTGGGCAGCCAATGTTTCCTACGTTTGCCTGGGCCAGTTTTCGCCAGGCCGGATTTTTTGGGCAGCTGCCTCTGCTGAACCCGACCGCGCGCCAAGTTTCAGTAAGCAGGTTACCTGCAGTGGGCTGCTGCAGCTAGAAGCTGACTCTGCAGGCCATGCTTCAGGCACACTTGGACTCGTTTGCTGCCGCGTGTTTGCACGACGAGCGTTTTAGCAGCAGGATTTTTATCATGGGAGCCTTCACTTCATAGCCATGTCTGCGTAGAATGAAGTTTGCGGGTTTCAACGGCGAGCATTTCAGCAGCAGGTTTTTTTCCATGGGAGCCTTCACTTCACATGTGATGTCTGTAGAATGAAACACGCGGGTTTCCAGAGCCTGTCAGCAGCAGGATTTTTTTCATGGGAGCCCTCACTTCACAGTAGAATGGAACACGCGGGTTTCCACGGCAAGCATGTCAGCAGCGAGATTTTTCCACGGGAGCCTTCACTTCATGTGATGTCTGTAGAATGGAACGCGCCTGTTTCCACGGCGAGCATTACAGCAGCAATATTTGTTCATGGGAGCCTTCACTTCATGTGCAAACATGTTTGCAATATAAAGAGTCAAACACGTGGTCAGGCGCAGCTACGCAACGGACAAACACACACGCCAAAAAACACAATTCTAATGCCCGGCCGCTCAAACAACAAGCACGCTTGCGAAGTGCAGGCTCCCATGGACTCCTGCTTGTCAAAAACTCGCCGCAGAAGTCCGCAGTAGCAGGCCAAACCCCTTACCTGAAACCCGGCCACAATTCAGAGGCCCGTCGCCAGAAACAATACTGCAGAGCAGCCAGTTCCTCGACCTGCCACCTTGCGCCGAGAAAGCGATCAGCGTGAGCACAGAGTCCCTCTGCCTGAAAGCTGGCTGATAGAAAACAATCAGCAGAGAATCCCTTTGCCTGAAAACTGGCCGCAGCCTGGAGGCCTGCTAAAAAGATCACAGCTGAGCAGCGACCCCCTCCAGCTGAAACCTGGCCTCACCCCGGAGGCCCGCTGACGGACGTAGCGACCCTCTTTGCGGAATCCCCGGAATGCAGCAAAGCCAAGTTCAAGGACATCAATGAGCTGCAGCAGGCGGTACACAATCGGGGAGAGAGACGCGGAGGAAGGTGGCAAGGTGCGAGAAAGCAATGTCCGACCTGATCCTCACAGGTACGGCTTGCGGGTGAGGACTTGTCCCTCCTGCTTGCACAGTGCACCGAGCGCATTCAACTACTGCCGTGTGACGGCTACTTCATTTCTCATGGAGTCATTCAATCGGCTCAGCAGGAGGACCGAGGCCAACCCCCCAAAGTGATTAGACCCTCTTCAGCAGAACGGAAAAGAACGGGCGTGCTGAGCTCTCTTCCGGAGTGAGAGGACCATCGGCGCCATGAGCGTCTACGGCCTTCTGTCCATGTGTCATCCTACAATCGCCTGGTGCGATTTTGTGGGGAAATCGGGACCTCGGGCTTTCGGCTTGCGGGTTTCATCGTCCTTGTATTTTCTTATTTAAAAAAGTTGGACCGAGCGGCCCGAGATTACCATGACGCACAAATATAATATTGCATATTCCGTTCCTTCTCTACAGTTATTACAATTTCCAAGCAGATATTCGGACAGGCTTTCCAAGGCCGGGCTGCCGCGAATGCAGCTAGTCTTCCCCGGGTTCCGACTAAGCGGCAAACCTGGACGAACTCGACGGACCTAAACACGAGGAAAAAAGAAAAGAACCGCTAGCTCGGCTTCTTCCTTTCTACGACATGAATAAGACATATCTTCTCACAATTTTCCCGCAAGACCTGGGAAAAGCCGATACTGGCCGGATACTCGGCAGGATCCACCCGCAAGGGATACTCAGCGGGGTCCACTGGCGAGCTACTCTGGGATACTCAACAGGATACTCGGCGGGATCCACTGGCGGGCTGCGTGCGCTGTTGCTTCAGTCATGGAATGTCTCACGACCCGAGAATTTTGAGTCAAAACAATATATATATATATATATATATATAAATGAGGGAGAGCCGGCATGCTGTGTGAACGCACCAAACGGTTGAGGGAAGATTCCTGCCACAAATTTCAATGCCTGCACTGGTGTTCCAGAAATGGAGCACGCAGTGTGGGGGGTGTGAATAGTGTTGCAACCACAGGTGCGTTTTACACACACGCATTGCCGTTTGGCTCAAGATCCGTCTCACAACCGACGTTGAGAGGCAGAGAAACAAAACAATCAAGCTCGCAGGAGTCGGAGGTCTGCAATTCTACCGATATTTGGAATATTCCGACAACACAACCACTGTTGTCGGGTATACTGACGGATCCCCTCGATTCTCAAGTTTTGTAGACATCTGCTTTTGGGGTTGCCTTTTCTAGGTTCCATGTTTATTTGCAGGGGAGCTGGGGTTCCCCAACTTGGTTTTCAGGGGCCGTGGCCGGCAGGCTCGAGCAAATCCCGAACTTTTTTTACCATTTCCCACGTTATGCATGTGACATCAACGTACATCAGAACGTCAGGTTCTTTAACACAGCCGACTGGGAGGTTTCCCTGAAGTCCTTGACACCTGGATTTTCCTTCTCGGGTTGGCTGGCGGATCAGGTCTACTTGAACTCAACACATTCCGCACTTACCTGATTTAGGTGTGTTCTTTGAGGTTACCCAGTTTTCTTGAAAATGAATGTAAGGGAAACCATATTTTTATCTTTTCGGTATGGAGCTGATAAGCGAGCCGTGAACCAGATTGAGCCAAGGAATGAGCCAACGGTTGTGCATGAATTCCAGTTTTTCAATTCGGCGTCTTCGCCCTTCGCAGCCTTGGGCTTGTTTTCCTCTTGGTGAATGACTATGTCTCAGGCAACCAGCCGCCAGGCCCAAGGTCCACCAAGGGGTCAGGCGGCTCACCCGCCCAAACGAGACGCGTGTTTTGGCACGCGGTATACTCCCAATGTTTCTTCCTTGTGGGGCACTCGGGTTTGACTCAGAAAACAGCATCACGTGTACCCAATCATAGGTTGACCTGGGCGAGCCAGTCGAGCAGTTCACAGTCAGCTCTTCACACCACAACTCCAGTGACGATTTTTGCTGGCCGAATTTGATCTGGGGCATAACCTATGGCTCCATTTTGGGGTGGATGAATATCCATTTGCCACCTATATGTTCACCAGGGGTACAGGGTTTTGACCCACAGCCATCTGTGCATTTCATGATCTCTCCCGCTCGAAGACTCTGCGCCAATAAAGGGACCCCTTGCCGATTGAGGTAGCAGCCGGAAACCGCTGAGTCTGTCTCAGCATCCCCTCAACATGCGCCTCGGTGTCCTCTTGAATTCCCTTTACAAACCGAAAATGGCACCGAGCCTGAAGCAACCTGAACGTGTGTTGTGTTTTGGTGCCCAGGCGGGTGATGGCCTTCTGTCTTTTCGGAGACACAGTGTGTATTGTTTGTTCATGAGCGCTGCTTGGCCGCCTTTGCTTGGCTATACACACAGGCTTCAAAACCTCCTAGTGGCTTCCGAGGTCTACAACCCCATGTTTAATTTAAGAGCAGCGGCCAAGTGGAGGTGGGGGTGGCTGTTGTTCTTGTTGATTCGCCACCCATCGAGGCGCCAAGCCTGTCCTTTGACTTGAGCGTGGAGGACAGCATGGAGGACAGCACGTGTTCCACTTCCTTTTGAGAGCGTGATTTGGAGGGCCTCAAAGCAGCCTCAAAGAGCCGCCATCTTAAAACTGCTTCGAGCTTTACCTCACTCAGGTTTTCCAAACATGGTTGGTTTTTTGTAGTTATTCACTTTGTTTGTTGCAAGCCATTCAGAGGGATGTTCAAATACAGCCCTAAGTCTGTCCTGGCGGTGGGTTTCTCTCTTTGTGCTGGGCTAGGCCAAGCCTCCATTCTGAACAGTTCCAGGATTACCCCTTGGGCGAAGCGTCTTTGGCCGAAGCGTTTGGAGCCCCCACGCTGATTTCGGGTCTTTTGCAGGCCCTAGGAAGGCCATGAGGTCTCAACTCTAGCATTTTGCTGCAGTTGGACTTTGAAGCATTGGCTCCAAATGTGAGGCAACTACCGCCACAAGCATAACGTGCTCGACCCGTTTCTACCAACTGTTGCTGAAGCCACTGGGCAACTAGGCTGTACTCACATTGCGGTTGGCAAGTGGGATTCCTGAGATCCACTCAAAGACCAAAGCGCACTTGACCAGGACTCGAAGCGATCCTTGCTGGAGGCAGCGTTCGCAATGACGACTTTTTTTTGCGCGGCTCAATTCGTAAAGTACGGCTTCGCGGAAATTGGGGAATATGAAACGAGTGTGATTGTTGGAATTGCTGTCGGACGAGCACTTTGTTTAATTAGGTAGTTTCAACTCTTCAAGTAGGGCGACTCCAGAATGAACCCTTGGTTTTGCTTTGACTTCCCTTCAGAACAACTCCCCATGGATTCCCGCAACCGCCACACCCAAGTCGTGTTTTGTTTGCCTCGGGGGGTTTGGAGCAAGCCCAGGCATAGGCTTGCACACCGGACCAACGCTTGGAGTTCTTTATAACCTGCCGCACTTGGCTGTGGGTCAATAATTTGTACCCAAAATGGAACCCTGCTGAATGGAAACAAGGACGAAAACCTGCGGTCCCCTGGTGGTTAATTTTTACCCATACCCACTTGGGCATTCCTTCGGGATGATTCCTAAAATGTGTTGGGTACCTTGACTGGTATTCCAACAACATCGCTGTTTGCTGGTAGCAATTGTGAGTCGGTGCACGTCTGCGATGCGGCTGCAACACACTTGTCAAGTTTCCCACCCATCTTTTTTGGCGGAGGCTGTTTCTCATGCCTGTTTTTAAATCCAAAGACTGTGCACCGTACTTTTTTCCCCACCACGGGTCTGGTGTTCGGACACCTGGCGGTGTCTCCTTAACAGAAGCGGGCTATCCTCTTGAACAGGCTCCCAAGCGTCCACTTCCAAACAGAGTTTGAGTTACCGCCTGTGTGGCAAACCGTTTAACAGCAGACTTTTTGTGCCCACTTTCAAGCCAGTAAGGCTGGAACAGGGTAGTCGCTTCACACTTGCTCAACATGCTCAGCGACCGAACAAAGTACAAACACCCCCCGCAGCTCCTCCTCGTCCAGACTTTCGGCAGCAACCCGGGCACGCTGCCTAGTAGGCCCTTTCGCTGTTTCTTTCCGTTGTTTTTCGAGGGACTCAGAGAAGACTTCGCCTATAGGCACACAGGTCTTTACCTCTTCTCCATTTTCGCCACGGGCAAGCCTCACTTGAGCGAACGAAGCAAAGCCCGTGCCAAGGTTGCCCCAGGCCTGATTTAAGGGTTGATGCCCCATTCTCCTCTACCATCATGTTCTTCAGATGCCATTTTCCAGGGGACTGGGCCCATTTTGCGAACAGGAAGGGACCCTGGGAAAGGGGGTGGTACGGCCAGCACCAGATTCTCCCGCGATTCGATCCTGCGTTTTTTTTTTGGGTTTTTCCCCGGTGCATGCAGGTTTTGCCTCCGGAAGGCGTGTGTCCTCGATTGCTGCTGAAGGCCATTGGGTTGCGTGTCTCCCGTTTCAACAAGAGAAGCTCACTGAAAATTGGCCCGCAAGGTGTTTCATAGAAGCCAGCTACAGGCATTTCTTCATGAACTGTTATTGCCCACGCCCAAAAACAAGTATTCCCGTCGAATTCCCTGCTAACTCTCAGAATTGAGTTTGCGCATCTTTCTTTGCGGCTCACCGATTCGGGGGTAAAGCAGGCGATTCCGTGATGAAGGGAGTCCTTATTTTTCCAGTTTGTGAATAGACAACTGGCCAGAAGCGAGCTGAACCACTCAGACAGTGTCTGGAGTCTGGAGTGATGGGTCTTTTAAAAGTTTCTCGGAAGCTAATGCCGTGGAATTGTTTGCCCCCCTTTTGGTTGAAAACAACAGGAAATCCTTTCCTAGTCGTTTGCAGGGAAACAAAAGCCACACTTTGGCGCGTGTTCATTTTTGGCAGCCAACCTCTCGGCCCTCGCATGGTTCCGTGGTTCATTCTCCTCCTGGCTTTCCTGCAGCCAAGCTTGTCACCTTTTGGTCCAGTTTTGAACAAACCATAGAACAGCGTCGAACATCTTGATGTGTTCTCCTGTCTTTGTGAGGAACAACGCCCTATGAGACACGTCGCCGTGCAGCTTTTCCATCTTCAGGGAGTCCTTTTATCGGAGTGTTCCTTGTTATCTTTGGAGGACAGGGGCCAAAGTAAGACAAAGGTTCCCAGTTCTCAGACTCAGCCAGTCGTCTTTCGCACTGTCCATGGTCGTACTCTAGACTCATGTTCTTGTGTACCCACAGAGGTCCCTTGGTGGGTGAGGATGTATCAACCAACCCCCTTGGCACCTTACTTCAGCTATCAAGATACCTAGGAAACAACTCCGTTGCGAAGGTATGCGCGAGGAGAGAAGCCAACTTTTCATGTTTATGCTTACTACTGTTTTCACTTTGTTCAATTGCTGTTTTCTGCTTTTCACGTGTGCTTTCCTCCAAGGATAATTGCTAGTTCTTGTTTGCCAGACCCTGACCCTGTGGCATTTGCCCTTGAGGAGCGGTTGGAGGCGCAGGTCCGCCGAGAACTCGCCAAGGCGAGTAAGGGGAGACGGTTGGGGGCAGGCGCCGCACTCACCGCTCGAGTTTCTGGACTGCAGTTCCAGTGGTAACCGGAAGTTTTAGACTGTTGTGGCCCAACCCCTTGCCGAGCTTCTGGGCTGAATTCGTACTTTGTCTAATGTATCTTTGTTTGAGCTTTTTGTTGTAGGCTATTCAGACAATTTGACGTGCAGATGTCGCAAGCATAGTTTCTCGTTTTTTTCATTGACGTGCTTTCCTCTATTGATGCCTTGAGTGGTCGCCCTGAAAATTGTTCAGCCTTGGGTCCATTTTGGTAAACATGGTTGGTCGTTCCGAGGACATGCATTGTTTCGGTGTTAGATAGTTGACAAGACCATCGATGCACTTTCGCTAGGCTTATGCCCAGCCTGGGGCTGAGGGAAACCCAAACGACATCATCCAGGAAAATCACTGCTTTCTCCAGTCGGTGGTATGCTTTGAGGGTGCCCCAAAACCAGATTGATGAATCTCTCCACAGCATACCAACTGCCCATGGACTTCGTGCATTGTTGTCAAGAATGACATGGGTTGGATTTTCGGCCTGCTTGATGATGGGCGCCATGAGTGGTGTCGCATGCGGAATCATGTCGTAGGTCAAGCCATAAGTCCACTTGTTGGATTCACCCTATTTCTAAACACATGCCCATCTGAGCAGCGATCAAAAATGCTCAACGAAATTTAAGTAAGGGAGCGCTGAAATCAATCCGTGCGGAAGGTTTTCTGCAGGCCGCGGAAGCTTGTGGAAGGGCCGGCGGACTTGACTAAGAGATTTGCGCCACGCCAATTTTGTTCGGGCATCGTTTCCGCACCCCGGGCTTGCCGGCTTGCCGGCTTAAGCCGGTCTTGAGCCTCAAGATTTTCTGCTCGGGGGGATGGCTCCACATACTTTCCCGAGTCACCACGCAGGCCTCTTGGAAAGGGCTGGCTGGGCCGACATTTACTTTTGAATCGAAGCGAAGCAGCCAGGGCCCTGAAAAACGATTTCAACAAATCGTTTTTGCTGCAGGGGCTGAAAAACGATTTGTTCGGGCTCAACAAATCGTTTTTGCTCCCGGCTCCCGGGGGTTAAAAATGATTTGTTCGGGCCCAACAAGTCGTTTTTGCTTTCGTGGCTTAAATACGATTTGTTCGGGCTAAACAAATCGTTTTTGAGCCCCGGGCCTTACATTCGTGGAGATTGATGTTGGGCTGAATTCGCGGAACTGCCGAAGGACCGCGGAAGGGTTCCGTGATTTGGATGACTTGTGTGCGATGTGTTGTTCTCGTTGGCCCTGTGCGGGAATCGTGTCGTGAGGCTTCACGTTTGCGTTGCTAATTTATTGGGATTCGCGTTTCAGGGCTCGTCGTGACCCATAAACCATTTGCTACAGCCGTCTACCGCTCGTAGCAGAAACTGGATGGCTCCACGTTGCACAAGGATGTCTCAAGCACAGGCTCGCAATCTCTTCAGGGCTTCCCTAGCATGGCTGTTTCACTTACCTGTTTCCAGCGTCCAAGCCTTTAATATCACCAGCTATGCCGCCAAATCCAAAGCCATGGGCCGATCTGGCCTCATCCTTCCGTGGATCTAGTTGTGTCGGCTTGGCAAGAAAGAGACGCAAGCCGCGGAAGGCGCGGAAGGGAAATGAGAGCGCGGAAGCAAACGCCCGCAGCGCGGAAGCACGCGGAAGCACGCGGAAGCGCCAAATGATATCATCGCAATTTGGCCTATTGATTTTGATCACCGCTCATTTGGATGTTCCCCATGCTTCCAGACTGTTGCTCAGGGCTTGGTTGTGGAGGAAGCTGAGCACGGCGCCCAGAACTTGTGTCCAGTGGCCGAGCCTCAAACGCACGCACTGTGGGGTGCAAGATCTCAGAAGCGCCTCAGTCCAAGAACTCAGAAGCGGTTCGCTCTCAGAAGCAAGGGAGCAGAAGCTGACACAGCGCGCCAACGCCGCACACTTCGCGCCTTCCTGGTTCTAGAGCCAATTTGGTTTGAGCAGAAGCTTTCCCGGGTCCGCTGGCGACCCGTGTGCCCGCACAATGTTGCAAGAAGTCAGAAGCGTCGGCTGCAAGAACTCAGAAGCGTCTCGCTTGCTCGTGCTCCGAAGAGCAGAGCCATGGATTTGTTGTTTTGCTTGCGCGTCCTAGCGTCCATCTAGCGTAAGCTGAAGCTTGCCCGGGTCAGTTTGCAACCCCCCGGCTGCGCATGCACACCATTGCAAGAACTCAGAAGCGTCTATGTTGCAAGAACTCTCAAGCGTATCACTCTCAGAAGGCCCACCACCCTTTGAGGTCAGTGGGGGGATTTACTGCTTACAACGTTCGCAATCGACTGCCTGCAAGTCTTGGTGAGCACCGAGGATCCTTTGCGGTCAAAACACATGTGCTCGCTTTGGCGGAGGCGCTTGGACGCAGACAAGCTCTCCTCTAAGGGCGAAGAGGCACAGGAGGTGCCATGGGTGGGCAGGGGGTCAGCCAGCCACCTCCTGGCGGTTTCTGGCCAAAAGAGGCAACTTGCCCGGGTCAGCTTGCAACCGCCCGGTTGCGCATGCACACCATGGAAAAACTCAGAAGCGTCTCTGTCGCAAGAACTCTGAAGCGTATCACTCTCAGAAGGCCCACCATCCTTTGAGGTGAGTGGGGGGCTTTACTGCTTACAACGTTCGCAATCGACTGCCTGCAAGTCTTGGTGAGCACCATGTGTCTTAGTTTGTTGTTGCGTTTGTTCACGTTTAGTTGTCGTCACCCCTCCAATGTCAGGGTTTCATACGGTACAAGCCGAGTAAAGGGGTCCTGCCAATCAGTTCGGATTTGTTGGAGCCAATCCACTCAGGAAACGTGGGGCGCTACAAAAACATGTGCTCGCTTTGGCTGAGTCGCACCAGCGCTTGGACGCAGACAAGCTCTCCTCTCAGGTGCGAAGAGGCGCAGGAGGTGCCATGGGTGGGCAGGGGGCAGCCAGCCACCTCCTGGCGGTTTCTGGCCAAAAGATGCAACCTTTCCCCTGAACCTCGTACACGCGTTTGGCCAAGCTGTGCGCAGCCAAATTTCCATCCCAAGCTAAATCAATTAATGTTCAAGTGGAGTCTGTGGTGGGAACTTGCCCCGCGAAATGGAAAAGAGTCACGCGCAAACAAGTAAGTTAGGGTACAAAGATTCTTCCTCGGGAAGCATTGGCGGTACGTAAGCATATCTCCTCCAGTAAATGCTTGCTTGAAAGAGGGACACCCCTTCAAAGAACACAACGAAAACAGATTCAGATGAGTTTTAACAGCATTTGGAGGTTTTTGGCAACTTCCTCTAGCAATAGTAGAATTGGACCCCAAAACGGGCTTTTCCCATCATGTTGGTGTCCTTGAACCGGGTCGATCATGGTGACACTCAAAAAAGGGGGGTGTATGACAAATAAAACTAGAAACGCAATATTATATATACACAGTTCTACATGTGTTACGCGGTTTACGAATTCGCTTATGCGGTTTGCGGATTGCAGACTATGGTTTGCAAATGTTTGCAAGTTGCTTATTGTTTTGTGGTTTTATTGTGATTTTTGTTATGATTGAATCTTCCAACATGTGGGCGTGACTCACAAATTGCAGCACGGATTACGGATTCAAAAGGCTACCAACCACACAGGTTGCGGATTGCGGTTGGATTTCGGAAAGGCTAGTATCTATGTTATGCACAAATATGTATAATATATATATATATATATGTACTATGTATATATATATGCACATATGTAATTACATATATATATATATAGAATTATATTTGTATTGATATCATGTGTATGTGTGTCAACATATATATGTATATACATATACACATGTATATATAGTTCTGCGGGTCTGGCGGCAGGCGAATTTGCGCGCGGCGAAGCCGGCTGAGCAGCAGTCAGAGGCAAGGTTCGGGGTTTTGTGGGGGTTTGGGGCTGGCGCAATTTCAGGCCATGTTGGTTTTGTCCTCCCCGCTTACTTCCCGAGATACGCATCGCGGCATCTACTTGCGTGGTGCAAGGTTAAGGGTTTAGGTTGTTTTGGGCCAAATGGACATGTCATGTGTTTTTTTGCTGGCGCATGTCCATCTTCGATTTGTTTCCCCCTATTTGTCTTGGAAGCATCTGAAGGGTTGTGAAAGCTGTCTCCTTTTTGCAGGTCCTCAGGGAGCAGGCGCAAAATGTCACCGAGCCCGGCTTTGACTTTGAAGGGGAAGTCCTATAGTCCTGCATTGTTGAGAAGCTGGCAACTTTCTTTTCATGAGCAGGCTCCTGGGAGGTTAGAATCTCGTGTGCTCCGGACCCATGCGCCTATGTCACAAAGGGGGCCTGTTCGCCAATCCCTCTCCCGGCAGACTTGTGTGCTTTTTGTTCAGCAGTTTGCAACAAACAGGCTAATCTCGAGGTTGTGAGGTGTCGCGTTTACATGCAAAGGGCCTGGTAGGTGCTGGCGTTTCCCCGTCAACAGGTAGGGTTGCCTTTGATGGGGAGTGTCCTATACGGATCACTTTTGTGGGACAAGGGCTCATTCATTTGAGATTGATCTCGGTCCGTCTCAAAGCCACCAGTACGTTGACAGATGCAATAGTTTGGTACCATCTCTCACATTTGATGTACACAGCGTGTTTCACCTCTCGTGTATCTTGACTTTTGCAGTATTTCTGTAGTATGTCACGTTGCTTGGTTTATGTCGAGTCGGAGGACACTGGAGCTGTTGCGCTGGATGGTAAACCCGCCCTCGCGCTCAAAGAGCAGGACAATTGATGAACATTCTCCAAGAAGGAAGAACAACTGCAACAAAGGTGTAACCAATAGGCAGGGGGCAAACATCACTGACATTGCGCTAAAGTGACATGCGGCGATGCAAGTCAAGACAAGTTGAGCCCCTTTTGGCCGATGGCTTTATTTGTCACAAGGAACCCACTGGATTGTTTCTTGGCTTTGACGCAGCCAATTTGGGGGTGTCGTTTTTGAGTCCAGAAGGAAACACACCATTTGGTAGTCCCCTGAAAACGACACCCAATTGTTGTATTTCCCAAATTGTGGCTGTTTTACTTGCAGAAACTTTTGCGCCCGTCTGAATGGCCACAACTTCGCAAGGCATCACCCTCTGCCATGAGAAAGGTACTTTGCTTCAACTCAGCGAATGATATAGGTATGAGTTAAAAAAAGAATCATGTCGACTTCATTTTAGTAAAGGCTTCCCCCGTCCCAACTTGTTCTTCTCGGGGCAAAGTTCCGAAATATCAAAAAGTCAGGGGTTGTACAGTAGTCTTCCTTGCAGTACTTGTAGTACTGCTTGTAGTACTTGTTGTACTTGTAATATTGCTGGTAGTGTTTGTAGTACTGCTTGTAACTGTGGTACTCTTGCAGTATTAACCAGGCTCCCGCCTGCTGCCGCCGACCCTCGGCGCATTAAGGGAAAAGTCACAAGGACCGGTCCTGAAACACGTCCGCAAACCCAGGGACCACTTATAAGATTTTCTACGACCACAAGGATTAACGGAAAAGTCAGAAATATGGCAGCTAGTCCGTTAATTGCCGCTTGGGCCGGCTTGCGCCCAAGTCACTTCGAGTTGGCCCGGGAGCAGTCGCCTGTCCCGGGTCGCCCTGAAACTGGCCCTCCCGAAACTGCCCCGGCGACAGTGGCCCTAGTGGCCCTGGAACGGTCGCCGGCAGTAGATCCAGGGATCCTCTACTACCACAAGGATTAGCGGAAAAGTCAGACAGGCGGCAGCTCGTCCGTCAATGACCGCACGGGCCGGCTCGCGCCCAAGTCACGTTGAGCTGGTCCTAGAAACAAGGCCGTCGGTGCCCCTCAACCGGTCGCAGGGAGGGACTGGGACTTGGGACCCTGTCCGGTCCTGAAACACGGGTGCCAGTCCGGAAACAGCGACGCTGAAAAAACAGGTGTCTGGAGCTGTTTGAGGTGGCACCGGGTTTCTGCAGCGGTTTGAAGTGGGATCCGATACCAGCGGCTGGGACCGGACCAGTCCTGAAACCACATTCACATTAGAGTTATGTGCCATTGCCTAGCGATCAATGGCTAGGCCTTCAGCCATAAGAAGTTGGATGCCGTTAGGAACGCGCATGGTTTGCCTATAGACCTGTTTTGGGAATGAAGAAAAGGTTCCCACAAATGGTTGGTGGGCGCTTTTTTAGTTGTTGTTTTCTGTTCTGGGAACAAATGTCAAAAGGCAACCCCTGTACAGTTCTGAGACACTTTCTCACACAGTTGCATCTTGCGCAAGGCAGAGACCAGTAGAAGCGCAGAGCAGCCATGTCCGACCGGACACGCGGAGGCTGGAAAGCACAAAGGGCGCCATGACTTGTCTGGTTTTGTTCTGTTGCGTGTGTGTGTGTGTGTGTGGTGTGTGAGTGCGTGCTTGTTTTGCTTAGTTATTTGAGCTATGTCCAGAACCGACCTGTTTCGCTTGTTGCGCGACTGTGTGCCGCACCCGCGGAGTACGACAAAGCCAGCGCTGGCGCGAACGTGAAACCGCTCCGGCCTCAACCAGCGCACCGAGCCACACCGAACAAGTCCCTGAACTTCGCCTCTCTCCGAACGTCCGGGGTGAACAGTTTCCGGCTCAATTTGCAGGCTCCAAACCACGGGGTTCGAGAGTCTTGGCCCCTTTCTCCATTTTGGTCTGGGCAGGGCCTCCCGGACAACTTACAAAAACCAAGCGAAAGCCTTCCGAGGAGTCCCAGTTCAGTCCGCAGGTTGGGGTCTTGGTGTCGATTTGCGCTGCTTGGGGGGGCTTTCGCAAGAATAGGTCCGCGCTTTTGGATTTTGAAGGAAAACCCCCAGCGAAACTAATTTCTGGTTTTGCGACACACCCACATGCTGAAGTGTGATTGTCATGGTGTTTGGTGTTTGGGTCTGAATGGGAAGCCTTGTTGGGCTACATGATGTGTTGGAGTTTTCTCGGGTACATCGGCACTCATGTGGGCTCATTGCGGGGAGCATGATTAGCAGTCCTTCTGGGTCCGCGTTGCTTCCCTTCCACTTGCCCAAGGGGACTCAAAGAGGTTGCCACACCAAGGCCACCCATTGGATCAATCTGATGCTCAGGAGACTCAGAGAGGATCCCCTTTGAACAATTGTCATTGCCGAACGACTGAGCGCACCATTTGTGCACAGCTGCGAACTAGCATTGTTTCGAAATGTGTAACAAAGTTGCGGCAAAAGGAGAGAACATGGCGCACACGGCGCGCATTTCCCTCACCGTGTTGCTCATTAGGGTATCAAAATAGGGACTTGGACCCGCGCAATGTGTGCTTTTCTTTCTTGCGAAGGATACCAAATTTGTTTGCACATGTTTCTGCACGTTGATTTGAGGGGATGAGGGCATATCCTCATGACAGAATCTGTCACAATCGTTTCAACTGTCTACGTTTCCCTCAAACACGCTATCACGCGGGTGACTTTGATAAAAAGTGGGTCCACCTGCGGAACAGTGCTTTCTCTATATGCCAGGGGCTGTTACGCGTGAAACGGCTTCGGCAACGCCCCCTCACTTCCCTCTCCGGTCAAGGTTTGGCAAGGTTCCGAAGGTTGCAACTGAAGCCTTGGGAAGTGACATTTGTGACATTTGTGTATTGAGATCTTTTCCCTGCCCGAAGGGCACGGCGCCTTTAGGGGAGGCGGTGGCAGTAAGTGCCGCCTCAGGGCAAAAACAACTGAGATTATCATTTTGACGCCCCCACTCGTGGAAACTCAGGACAGTTAAACCCGTCCAATCTCAGAAAGCATCCTCCACTTCTGGGATTCGAGTTGCATGAGTTGTTCGACTGCCGACTGCCGGAGTGGCCGAAGGGCAAAATGCTTGCAACACTCAGCACCATGCTATGACTTTCCAGGATGCGCTGCGGTTTGCAGAATGATATGACACTCTTGTCGCTTCATCTACATGAACTGCATTTCCAGGCAAACCGCAAGACATGTTGCAGCAGGGCCTCCCCGTATGATTGGGTTTTAAAGATCATGTGTTGGAACCATGTCCATAGTATGTTGATTTCCCCTTTTGGTTTGAGTCACCAGTCGGTGCAAATTCGCGCCCCCCCCCCCCCCCAAGAAGGGTTCTCTAAACATGACGGTCATTTGAAGACGAGCACTTGAAGACAGGTTTCAGTTCAACCACGGGCTTGAGCCCTTACTGGGGGAATGCATCAGCTCATCAGGGTCAGATTAAGAAACCGCCTGCACCTGCACCACCTGAACCACAGCTGCTCAACTCAGTCCGCACCACCTGAACCACACCTGCTCAACTCAGCCATTGGTTGCTCCAATGAACGCGAACTCGGTCCTTAGCTGTTGGCAGCCCTCTGCTTGCCACGCTAGGTTCCGGTCGCTGGACACAAAAGCCGGCGGGTGGTGGAGGACGAGCCAGGCCGCGGGCCCGAGCCAGCCGCAAATGGGACCTGGGTATAAGTCTAGGAATAACTTCCCCGTTCTTTCCAGGGATCCTTCTTTCTAGCAAACTACCAAAAACTTTAGAGCCAGAGGAGGCTCAGTCCGCCGACATTGTCCTCTCCCTTTTCTCCTTCTTCCTCTCTCCCTTGTCTTCATCATGCGTTCTCTCGTCCTCTCTCCCTCCCTCTGCTCCCCATCCTCCCCATCCCCCCAAGCCTCTCTCTCCTCAATCTCCCTCTCTCCCTCTCTCTGTCTCTCTCTCTCTCTCTCTCTCTCGCTCTCTCTCTCGCTCTCTCTATTTCTCTGTCTCTTTCTGTCTCCCTGTCTCCTTCCTGTCCACGCCCCTCTACAGAAAAAAGGGTACCCTAACTCGAACCTCTCTGCTCTCTCACTTTCTCGCTCTTTCTCTCTGTCTCTCTCTCTCTCTCTGTCTCTCTCTCTCTCTCCCTCTCTCTCTCTCTCTCCCTCTCTCCCTCTCCCTCTCCCTCTCCCTCTCCCTCTCCCTCTCTCTCTCTCTCTCTCTCCCTCTCTCTCGCTCTCTCTCTCTCTCTGTCTCTCTCTGTCTCTCTCTGTCTCTCTCTGTCTCTCTCTGTCTCTCTGTCTCTCTCTGTCTGTCTCTCTCTCTCTCTCTCTCTCTCTCTCTTCTCTCTCTCTCTCTCTCTCCCTCTCTCTCTCTCTCTCTCTTCTCTCTCTCTCTCTCTCTCCCTCTCTCCCTCTCCCTCTCCCTCTCCCTCTCCCTCTCCCTCTCTCTCTTTGTCTCTCTCTCTCTCTCTCTTTCTCACTCTCTGTGTCTCGCTCTCTCTCTCTCTCCCTCTCCGCTCTCTCCCTGTCTCTCTCTCTCTCTCTGCATTGCAGCGTCACGTCCCCCCTGAGTTGCCTCGATTTCCGGGCACTGCCCCTTCATGACCCGTCATCTCACTACTGGCTTTTCCCTTGATTCCCCTTCATGTCCTTTTCACGTTTCCCATGATGTCCTGGTCATGTCCCTTCCATGCCTTTCAACTCCCCCTTCAGGTCCCTGACATTTTCTCGGTATGTCCGCTTCATTTTCCATGTATGTCCCGTTCTTTCGTTGCGAGTCATTTCCCTACATCTCCCGTCGTGCCGATTGGTGTCCTTGTGCGCCGTTTCCCTCTCATTCCCCCTGCAACTCCCCTTGTTTTCATTTCTGTCCCTTGCATGTCCCTTTCAGTTCTCCTTTGTTTCCCTTTCATTTCCCGCTGCTTTCCTGTCATGTCGACTTCCTATTTCCTCCCCTCATTTCCTTGCACTTCCTTGCATTTGCCCATTGCTCCCCAATATCTCCCGCAAAAACACGGTTTTCCAGTGTTTTCGCAATTAGGACGTCTCCAGATTTTCGGCAAAAGGAGACAGGAACCCCAAACCAGCAAAGAGCCGGCAGGGGGAATCGAGCCTGGGACCTGTTTTGCGACACCGGCTCCCCGAAGACTACGTTTAGTGGAACGTCATCAAATTGCCGCGCGGTCCGTGGGGGGTATCAGACGTCGGGCGGGGGGGGGGGGGTTATGGGGGGGGGGTTATCCTCTATCCTCTCTTAGGTGTCCGACACGCCGAGCAATGTCGGCGGGGGAAATGGTTGGTTTTTGAAAAGAACGATGGTTGAAAAGAATGGGGAATCAACCCCTAGAATAAGTGCATGTGAAGGGACATTCAAGGCTGTGATCACATCTCAGTATCTCAGGTGATGTCAGGATGCCAAGTACTTGTTTTGAGCTAAGTCTGAATATTTGCGATTTGATGGCAGGCGAAGCTGCTGCGAGCGCTGCGCACGGAGGAGCTGGGGTGGTGGAGTGGTGGGTGGAGTGGTGGTTTGCGGCGGTTTCCTGCGCAATAGCCAGCCGGTTTTCCGGAGTCTCCTTCAAAAGCATATTGTCTCCACAGCTCCAACTTCTAGCGGTCCGAAACAAAGGCAGATCTTCACAGTTCTTTAGTTTTCTATTGTGTGTTGCTTGCGTTAGTCAGTGGGTGACTGCGGAGCAACATGCGCGGAAGAATTAGCGCCGCGGCTTCCTTTCGCTTCAAGTGGATTCCCAGCAAAATGCAGCCACTTCCACACGGGCGCGTCTTGCGTACCCATGTTGCGCAATAGATAAAGGGAACACAATTCACTCCACTTGTTCGGGAGGAAGTCAATTTTGAGACACACACACACACCGGGGACAGCGTTTTTATGTGAACTTGTGCCCAGCAGCCATTTTGTTTTCACACCGCGAGTTCGTTGACCGAACCAGGCGCTTCTTTGCATGGCTCAGGAGGCGTTGGCGAGCTTTGCGACAGGCTGGTTGTCGGACGAAGTCAGGTTTTGGGGGCGTCAAAGTTTGGCGCCATCTGATCCGTGGACCTTGACTAAATGGTGAAACAACAGATTTGGGTACGCTGAGGGGGTTGGAATCTAATGAAACGATGAAACAAATGTGTCAGGCTTCTGGGTGCTAAAGGGAAACCAACCAATTAAGTTGGGGTTCCTGGATTTGAGATTGCAAGTGATCAAGGTATTCAAGCACACCTGGTGAATTGCGCTAAGTTGCAGGGGATTGCCGATTGTTCCCATCTTGTTTTATCTAGCTGGCATCTGGCTTGCCGTTGGTCACTGGCATCGAACCCTCACTTGCCTCTCGCGCGCCTTTTTTTTTCAACTGGAATTGAAATCGAAAGGGATTTGGGATGGGCGACCTCGGGCCCCATGATGATTCCAATCATGGGGCTGTACTGCTGTCTCCTTATTTGGGCATGATTGTTGTTGTGCTGCATTCAGTCTTCTGTTTTGCGGGCAACGATCAACTGAGCGCTCAACTGGGCATTCCGTTCGGCTGTTAGGAGCACGGAACTCCTGGGTGATGTCAGCTGTTACCCAAGGCACAGGCAGATCCGATTGACTTGAAATGGGGAAACATCTAAACTGGATTTGTTTTTGTTCCTTAAACCCAGCCCAAGATGCGTATCTCACTGGCGAGGGTGACGTCGACCCAGAACTGACCCCTCGTTCCACCGGTTCATCCGGAGGCCCTTTGATTCTCGGCGTTTTATCAGGTGGCTTTTGCTCGGCAATGCTTACCTTGATGTCTTCCCTCAGTGCTCCCCCCTGCGGAGAGACGTGGAAGCCAAACAGAGCCAGTGGGAAGGTTCGCTCACCCTGGTGAGAGCACGAAGGCTCCGCAAGTTGGCAAAGATTGCGTGGAACTCCATCCATTTCAGCAACCCACCAAAGTCTGGCTGTTCAACACGGAGGGTTGAACCATCCAAATCCATAATCCCTTAAAGAAACTAATTCGAAAGGGGAGCCGTTACCTAACCCAAGGCTGACAAACTTGAGAGGGGTGTTTTAATGAGTCAAACTGGGTGTCTTCCTCTTCAATCCAACCAGATGGCTTCCGTTTGCCTCCCTTTTCCCAACCAGACAGCTCAGCTTTTGCAGGTCTGGGTTTGGACGAACCCTCAACCAAACTTCCGGATCGATGCCAGGACTTCCCCCCGCTTCGGTTCCGGACGCCTCACAGCGAGCAAAAAGAGGCTCGTCTGATTTGAAACCCGGCAGCTTGGGAGACGTACGGTTTAATTTGGTGATATTTGGTGTCTCCCCTCCAAAATGATTGTTCATTTTTCAGTTTTTCAGGGTAGACAAATTATGGACTGTGATCCCTGACTCGACCCTTTAGCCTTTCGTTTTTTTGGTTGCTCAATATCACAGGCCGGGGAGAGGGGTGAAAAAACCAGGGCCCCTGCCCCTTTCTGGCATGCGCAGAGCCCAAAGCCCACTTCGCCATTCTGGAAAGGTTTGACTGCCCGATCCCGCATGATAGAAACGCACCTCACAACCGTTTAGCCAGCTTGGTAGAACCACAGGAAAACGGGCGCACATGGATTAGGAATTGAAGTCACGTGCTGTTCCTTAAGGGAGTTGTCAAAAAGCTCAGGACCAAGCAAAGAACAGACTTGGCTTTCTATGTGCGGGGGGATCCCCAGCAAAACCTAGAGTCAGCTGACCTGGCAAACTCATAAGCGGCCAAAAGATGGGTTGCAATGTCCAGGGCATCCACTGCTCGAAGGCTGAGCCCCCTTTACAGCGCCAATCTGGGCGAGTGACTACACCCCCTACAGGCCAACAGACAGGGGCCCAACGGGGAGAATATAGATGGACCGAAAGGCCGGACCCAGGCATTTTTCTTTGCCGCAGGGGAACTCTGTTTCCAAGGTTGTGATCTTTGCACGTGTGGGAGGCTCGCGCGGCAACAGGGCCCTTTAGACAGGGTAGTCCGACTTCTGGATCTGGTCTGACATCTTGAGTTTGCGGCTTTGCCTTCATGCTTTAGGAAGCAAGCTTTGGAGCCAAGGGTTTCTAGGGTAGCACACAACTGTGACAACGTTTATAGATAGCCGATATTGCGCACCTGGAAAGCCCAGGGGTGCTGAATTTCTGCCGCTGATTGAAATTGCACTAATTTTCGCCGTTGCTTCAAAAAAGCGCCTTTGGTCCCCAAAAACGCCGTTGGAGCAATTCGTGAATATTCAATAACTTCTGTGAACGGCCAAGAACGCGTTTGATTGGCAAAAAACGCCGTTGGACAAATTCAGTCAACCAGCTTGACCCGGCAAAAAATCATATTCCCCAAAAACGCCTGGAGGCAGAAATTCATGCTCCCAGACTACAAATTCAGTTTTCGTTCAAAAGGCGAAAAAAATACACCCCTTGGGATTTCCAAGTATGACTGACATGCAGCAGATAAATGATAATTCTGTGAGTCCTTGGTCCGATGCCCCTATATTTCTGGATTTGATACGTTTCCTTTGTTTAGTCGTGGCCGATCAACACTCAAGTTTTTTTACATTTCAAGCCTGGGGGTTAAACTGTTAAACCACACCATTGAGACTCCAAAGGACTGAGACGCTGTCCACGACATCGACAACTGCCTCGGAGGCGCTTCACTTTCGGCCACGGGCCTGGAGTTGATCATTTCTGTTTGGCGCCCAAGGTAGAACGAACCTCCGGATGCTGGCCATGTTCGAAAAGGGATGCTTGGAAATGGCTCAGTTCAAGATTCCATCGGGTCACAGGGCTCCGACCCTCGCGCGAAAGAAACATCGGCACTAGAAAAGGCAACTCTTCCGATGTGCTGCCCTTGCTGGGTTTTGCCCCACATTCTCTGACGAATCCCTTCAACATTTGCCCAGCCCTGACCAACCGGCGGAAAGAGCCGGGCAAAAGGCGAAACAGCCGCTCGACCCGTTTGAGGCACAAAGGGGATGGGGCCAATTTGAAAGGTGGGGCGCGGCATTTTGCTCGATAAATGGATGCATTTTTTGAGAGTACCATTTTGGGCTTTGGTTTTAAGGAAATCAACAGGAGCACCACTATTTCGCTGTCCCCCTGTTTTGACGCATGCCCAAATGTACTCCGGTCTCCCTAATAATAATCGGTCCCCCTCCCCCCTTTAATTCTAAAAACAAACACAGGGTGTTTATCATTACGGTTCCACGGTTTTTGGCCAGTCCTGTTTCAGACTGCGTTGTTTAGTATGGGGCCCTTTGATTGGCAACAACAAAGTGTTCAGAATGCAACTTCTGGGCAAGAATGCTTAAAAGGAAGGCACCTTTGTTTTCCAAGCAAGCTAACAAACACCCGCTCACGCAAGGCAAGGCAACCCTTGAGCTTGAAAGGAATAAGCGCTCAGAATACAACTTTTGAGCAGGAATGAAAGGAACCCAATGGAGACCCTAACATTAGAAGCCGCCCCGCAAGGCAGCCTTGTTGATCATTGCTAGGGTGGCCCCTCATAAGCTTGGCTGAAATCATCTGGTTTCTGGAGAGTTTGGTATCGGTTTAGCATTTGGTAGTGTAAACTTAGTATTGGCAATTGTTGGGGTCGGCTGGAGGGGTTTTTAGGGGGTCCGTTTATAAGGGGTTATCCGAGAGTGTGAGTGAGGAAACCAGGACCAGGCATATCACACCGGACCTGGACATGCGTGTTTCTCTTTTCCCGAAAAGCTGCAGGAAGCCGACGGCCCGTTTTCAACACGCTGCGGCTTACAGGTGAGGCCGCGGTCACCTCTGGATACACCCGGACCCCTTGAGGACTCAGGTAATGGGGTTGATTTTCCTGCGCGAGGCGCCCCAGCCCCGGAGACGCTTGCGCCGCCAAGTGGAGGATGAGGAGGCACCAGGGAAAACTGAAGGGGCCATTTGTCCAGTTGTACGTTTCCAATTTCCAGGGATGCTTTGAGAACAATCGCCACAAAACAGGGAACTTTGGTAGCTACTCAAAACGATGGGTGAAAAGAGTGGGCGATCAAGATCAACCTTCAGAAATGAGACTTTTGTGCCTGGCCGGAAGGTTTTCAGACTGTGGGCCTGGCAGCTATGTGACCCAAGTGTCATGTTGCCCTCCTAAGATCGCCGCGGGGCTCCTTTTTGGACTACTGCCCAAATTTGTTGGGCTATGTAGATGGCTGCAGAGGTCTTATTTGCCTTCCGACCTTAAACGTGGCTTTTGCGACATGTGGTGATTGGGCAGTTGTCCGCAAGATCCTCGGCTTGTTGGTCCCCGTTGAGTTGGCTTGGTTGTGTGCCTGGATATTCGGGCGAGTTGGTGTGAGTGCAGACCAGGTTGTTTCTCACCTAGTTGAGTTATCTCTAGTCTCAGTTGCTCAGCGGCACCCTCTAAGTCCCTCTCGGTTGTTCGTCTCCCAAACATGGTCCTGCCCAAACCCCAGAAAACACGGCCCCATGTTGACATTTATTTTTATTGATTTAGCATCAGTTTGCAGACCTTTCCTGTTGAACCCCCTTGTTTTCTTCTAAAGGGAGGGGTTCCCTAAAAAGTCAACTTCTTTCTCTCCCACTGAGGAAATTGAGCTCCCAGGTACGCTCCCGCAGGTGCTATGTTTGAGGATTGGTGCCAAGGTCCAAGTGTCCTAAGTCGGCGGGACTCTTCCAACAATCATGCAAGCTGACAGACATGTTTTGGAAGACACGTATGATGGTAAAAAGAGCAAAGCCCTTGTTCATTCATAGGTTGTGGAGCGTCCGTTTTGGGAAAGACTGCAAATACTTTGGTTGTGTCTAGGCCACTTCAATACTGAGATATATGACTAGCCTGCTGCCTTAGCAGCTATGATGGATCATACCTGTACTGAAAAACAGGCGTTCACAGCGTTGACCCCTTGACCCCTCTTGTTTCCTGCTGGATTTCCTTCATGTTCCCTTTCAAGCAGCAAGTCGAGTTTTTGCGGGCCCAAGTCTGGCCCAGGTCCGCAACAAATTGAGAACGGACAACGTTGGATTGGAGCCCACTTGTTTTGGAAGGCTACTGTAAAGCATTTGAAAAGCTGCGTGGGAAAGTATGACCTTGTACCCATCAAGTCTTCAACCCTGTGCTTCCTCGACCATTCTTTAAATAGCCTCGACCATTTAAAAAACGAAAGGCTATAAAAGTAAGTCCCTCGACCATTAAAAGTAGGTCTAGACAAACTTGTCCAACTTGAGACGGCTGGCTCCTGACATCCCCACGCGCTTCTGTGCAGTGAGAGGTTGAAGAACTTTATTGCCGCCTTTTATGAAATTAGCTCAGTATGTTTTACAGTCGCTTCATCCCGTTGTAATCACACGCCGTCACCATGCTGTGTCAATTTGGCTTGTCCCTCACATGCCCGTGCGTGTTTTTCCACTTCTTGTCCACAGCTCCACAGAGTCTGATCGCGTGTTGTTTGTTGATTGTTTAATCGTTTTCGAAAAATGAGGCGTGGACAAACCATGGACAATCCGTGGAAAGTACGTTTTTTAGCGTGGAAAGTACGTTTTTTAGCGTGGAAAGTACATTTAAAAGCGTGGACAACCATACCCCCAGGAGCCAACAACGCATGTTTGATCGGCAGCGATGCCCCGAAGCCACTAAGATTGCAGCATTTTTCAAAAAAGCCGGACTTCAGTACCAACATGCGAAAAATCTATGCACGCCTCTACAGTAGGCGGGACACCTGGCGATTTTGAAAAGTGATGCGACCATACATTTGGCAAGCCGGGGAATGAGTGGCTTGGGTGCAGTCATTTGCAGCTGGGAGGATGAGGGCGGCGTGACTTTCAGTGACCTGACCCTAAGCAATTCTTGGGCAACAAAAACAATTATTTTTTGGATATTCAGGGCCAGGCGCAAAAAACGGTCTTTCGGCAAAAAACAGTCTAGCAACCTCGACCATTCTTTTAATGGCCTTTGGAAGCCTAGGGTTCAATTGTCGAAACCTGAAGGGCAAGGATCCCCTTTGTCTGCACATGCCTGCACACAAACTCTTGACTGGGCACACAAGTGGTCGATGTTTGTTCTTGGGCTTTACACTGTTGGATCTGAACTGCGCGAACGCGTGGGAAGAATGTGCACACTCCACTCACGTGTTCTCTTGCCTTTCTCATTAAATCAAAAGATCCTGGGCAAACTGCTTTAAAGAGTGTCAAACGTGTACTTTTCAGGGTAATTTAGGAGAGCCTTGGTTATGTGTGTGTACGTCAGTTTGCTCACTGCGCAAAAGATTTTGCCAGGGCTTAAGCATGGTGCCTTACAGATATTTGTTTGTTTTTTGATGGACAGTTGGCGCGACTGGACTTTGGATTTACACGTATACTCCCTCCCCAGCCTTTTGAACTGAATACTTGTTCGGAAGACAATTTTGGAGATACAACAATGGAGATGTAGATACACAGTTTGGACTTGTGTGGGCCACTCCACTCAGGAGGCAATGCGTATAAATATGTGTACCAGGACATGCAGTTCTGACAGCATCCACTGCATGGAGCTGTAACATTGGAAAAAGGGACCCCCTTCTCCAAGAGAACACCACAAAGGGAATGATTTGTGTTCTCCGGACCCTCTAAATTCTCTGCACCCAGAGTCCCAGAGAAGCAAACAAGGAATTCCGCTGCATAGCAGGAGCCTGAATCAACTTCTGCCAAGGCGTGGACTTCTACGTTCAGGGTGGTGATCAAGGGTTAAATGCCCATGAGAGCACATCGATTTTGCCATGGTCTCCTGTCGCTTTTGCAGAGTTTACGTGGGATTTTGTCAGGGATCATCATGGACCCCTGAGTTTCAGCCGTCCGCATTCTGTTCAGGGGTCCTTCTCTGCGCACGACCGGGAGAAACGGGTGGTTTCTGAACAGACGGAACAGACGGATGGGCGAGGAGAACGGACAATCCACCTCTTTGTGAGGGGGTTTCGCCAGCTAATCATGAAGTGGTCCAACATTGATCGAATCCTAGTCGTGTGAAAATCCTAGGCGTGTGAAACACTTTGCCCTTTTGGAGTGTCCGTAGGTGAAGCTTTCGTCAAGGACCATTGCAGGGCTGGGATCCCTGCGGAGGCGTAGGGAAAATTCGGCATATCCCTTCTATGCTCAGTTGACCTTTTGGTTTTGCTGTTTTGGTCCATGGCTAAGCCTAAGCCCCAAAAGGTTAACCTTGTCGCAAGCAACTGAGTACATGGGCGAAACTGTTGCACCGTCAGCCATGAAGGTTCGCTTCACGTAGGGGCCCGTTATTTTCGGTTTGCGAGCAATGCAACGCTTACTGACTATGGCCGCCGATTGTTCTCCATGGCTCCATGGGGGTCCCATCGCAAATAACAGGTCTTTGATTCTTGTTCCAGCTTTGGTTCAACGTGGCACTGACATTTGTTTGTTGAGACCCTCCAGAAAGGTTGGTGGACATAAACTCCCACAAGAGGTCCCAAAGTCTGGTCAGTTTCCGACCACACTCTCAGGAAGTAGTTCAGCTTCTTTTGCAAACTTCCCGTTGGGTACCTGTCAGGACAGCCAAGAGACCCGTGACCAACTCAGCGACGTGGGCACGTCAGAGAGAGAGAGAGAGAGAGAGAGAGAGAGAGAGCGCAAGAGAGGGAGAGAGAGACAGAACACAATCTCTGGCGAGAGAGAGATTGTTTTTGTTTGCGGCCTTTGGCTTTTTGCAGATTCGTCCCAATTTACTGGCTGGGTGCTCAACAGCACTTAGTGTGTAATGTCTTACCCCTAAAGCAAACTAATTGGGGATGAAATATCGATTGACTTTTCCGGACCCCGGCCCAGCAGCCAAAGTTTCACCCCTGAGGTCATGGGTTTCTGAAATCAAAGTGTCAAGAATAGGAGGCTCATGCAGGATCCTTTCACTGGAGGTTTTAGCAAGCCACAGGTCTGAGGGTTGAAGATGATTGACACTGTCACGAGGAACCGACGCCTTCAATGGTGTTTTACTCGTGTTTGCTTGCTTCAACATGGTCCTTGGTCATGTTGACAATTCTAGGTGGCCAGCTTTTGACAATGGTTTGGCAATTTTGTTTTTTGGAAATCGCCGCCCTGCTCCATTTGTTTGAAACTGGCAATGTAAAGTGCAAGGAGCTCGCAAGGTCGATTGTTTTCATGAAGGCTTTTCACTTTGGCCCAAACTGCCATGTGGTGCCATGTTGTGCCATGCGGTGCCCTGTTTCCTTGTTTTGGAGGGGATTTCCTTCTATAATTAGCTACCAAACAAATGTACCCTTTTTACCCATAGCCACTGGGTGCCCAACTAACTAGGTACAAGGGGCCCAGGATTCGTGATCTGACACCCGCAATTTCCTGAAGGCTGGGCTCAATCCGGGGCTCCCATTCTCGTATATTCTTACAGGGTCATTATTCTGACCGTTTCTACTGGTTATCAGAGGCAGAAAATGGGGTTGTTTCCCTTTAACCCATCACTTAGGGGGTGACTTTGATCACGGTAAAATAACGAGGCCAGTCTTATGCTTCAGGATCAAAAGGCCTGCTTGGTTCCTTCTGGTTGGTGGGGATGGTCATGAACCCCTCAAAACGAGGCTTAACAAGCACGCAAGGATTCCTAGTTGGAGGATTGCCCCATTTTCGGACATGACATCCTCAACAGTGTTTCCGTTTTTGTCAGCCATCCTCCACAGTACACTCCATCCGTGGCGGCTTAAAGGGGAGCAACCAGTGGATATGAAGCTGAGGCGGACGAGCTCTCGGCGGGTGAGGCGGACGAGCCCTTGGATGCAGAGGACGGAAAAACACCGGCGAACCCAAAGCGAAGTTTTGACCCCGGTCAATCGTCATCACCTTTTTGGCTCGCGACGGTGAGTTTCCCTCGGTAGGCCTGATGTCTCGTTCCAGCGGAAATGTAGGGAAGCCCGAACCACTACGCCGCTCGCTCCCTGAGTTCCTGGACTTTAGCCACTTGATAAGACAAGGTTAGGGGGCAACCAACCAGTTTGGGCGGTGGCTAAGAAGCTCACAGAAGTGAGACCACCCCCACGAAATCGGGGCTGAATCACGTATACACTTGGAAATGCATCAGTACCAAGGCAAGGAGTCCTTGTTGTTTGTCTACGCGGAGTCGCAACATGTTGAGCTTTGCCCATGACATCCGCTTGTATGAAGTTGTAGCATGTGACCTTGCAGCCGCCAGAGGTTGATATAAGAGGTGACTAAGCAGTTGCAAGCTTCATTCTCCCAGGATCGCGAGGGGTTTGGTTTGCTTAGTAAATACTGCACCCCGATTTAATCAGTGAGGCCTTTAAAGTACCTGTTCTCGTTTGGTGATCGCCTCCTATCTTAGGGTATGAACACTTACCGAGCAGTTTAAGCAGTGGGAGCCTCATCCTCTCGTGTTACCCTTGGACTCCGGCCGCCCCTGCAAACTGACACGCTTCCTACATCTTGGGTGACACGAGTCCCGAATTGCCTGTCCGCCAGGAAATCGATGAGGCCTCCTGGCTGTCAAGGGGGTTCTCAAAATCGGGGGCCTAATACCAAAAGGGGGTTCATCACTTTGACCCCTTGGTATGCTCTTAAAGTACATAGATTGATTTGTTGCCTTTTGGTGTAGCAAAAGGGCTTAATTTCCGCATGTTTGGGATCACCCGGGCATGTTTCCCTTTTTGAACAATGGGGGGATGGAGCATTGCTTACAATATGTCCCAAATCTGTTTTTCTTGTTTACCGGGTCTTTCAAGCGACCGCCTTTTACAAGTCCCTGAGTGGGTTATTGCAATGCTCAGCGGTTCAGCCACCACAGTAGAGAATTGTAACTTAATGAGCTTGACAACCTAACCCGTGTGAGGTCTTACAAGGCCCTAGGGGCCTTCAAGTGGTGTGGTTTCAGTTCCCATCATCAACGCAAGGAACTGGAGTTGCCTCAGCTCCCCTCGTTGTTTGACTTGACAGCGGCTGCGTTTGAGTGACGCCAGTGAGCGTTCCAAAGCTGTTGTAACGCGAAACGAGGAGGCGTCAAACACCTTTTTGAAGTCCTAGAATTCCAAGTTACCTGGCATGCCGGGTCCCAGCAAGCTGAGAATGTCGGGCAAACACGGCGGGCATTTGGCTCTTTGGTACATCCTCGCATGGAACTTTCGGGTGGAGAGCGCTTGTTGGAATCCCATTCAGAAAGCAGAGGAGCATTCCACATTCCCCGAGGCCGGACCTCCGAAGTAGCCGACCCATTGTAAGTGAAGCGTAAGGGAACTGTGACCAAGGCCACAGGGAGTTGGGACGGATGGCCCCTTATGGGAACAGTATGGCTCTGTATTTCTTGTGGGTACCCCTTTTTGGGGTTGAGAGACACACCCAGATGGGCACTCCCCTTGCGAATACACGGCGCACCTGCGAAACTCACGGGAGGCGCAGATAGCGCGTCGTGAGCGTCAACAGCGGCGCTGGGAGGCAATGGTTTCACTGCCCCGCTGACTCTGAGGCCCTAGTATCATATTCGGAATTCAGAAAACGGTTTACTTTAGTGTCCCTTGCTGGGGCAAATGTCTGACCTGCCAGAGTCTTCACAACAATCCTGATTGTTCATATGTCAATTTCGCTTTAATCCGAAGGACAATACTTGTCATGGGAGTTCCTAAAAATACATTGTTTAAACGGTTTCCTCAGTCCTTACCAAAAGGGTAACCAGCCCTGATTTCGCATGTTCCGGAGGTCGTCCTCCGGAGTCAGGATTGCTCAGCTCCCGTGTCCACCAGCGGTTAGAACTGTAGCTGCTGACCAAGGTTCAAGCACGTTTCAACCAAGTCGAACCAAGTAAGTGTTCCTATCTGATGTTGTATTGTTGGGCGAGTTAGAACAGCTCAACCAAGCGTGACACACACCAACGCAGACACCAAAGAGGCTGCTTAGAGTCCATTCGAGCGCCATCGACCCTGTGAAGTTTGTTGCATGAAGGAGCAAGGCGGTTTCCCATCGGGTTGTCAAGTTTGAGGCCTCAAGGCAGTACAAGGTGACACGATGTTTGACAACAACATCTAATCTTCAGTGTTTCAACGACAGCCACAAGTACCCAAGAAAGCAACCTGAACAGATGAGTATCCCTCAGCAGTTGACACCCGTTGCGCTGTCGCCCGTAAGGCCCGGGCTTTGTCGAGTTTGGCACATTGACATGGACAATTTTACTCTGCAAATAGACCCTAAACCCTGAGTGTACAGGCCCCTCTCACCGTTTTCAAGGGTCAGTTGATCAGTTGATATTTGTCTTGCTTGGCCAACCGCCATAAGGAAACAGGACCTATTTTTTGTTTGGATGACTTTACAGAGAAGCGCAACACACGGGTAAACATCCAAACAAGCAGCTCCCTTTGCCAGTATTAGGTACCATCTCTTTTGAGATTGGAGGTCGGGCTCCACTTTCCATTGCCCTTCTAAAATCGCATCGGACCAGATTCGGTTCCATGAGGCCCAATGCTGCATGGAAGAACACCCGAAACATGTTGTTTCGGTTGATCCCCTAAATATTGCAAGTAGGGAACAAAGGAAACCCTGTAAATTCCTATGGTTTGTGGTTGACTTACTTGCAATATTTAGGGAATCCACCGTTACGCGCGGCCATCCAATGCTTCACACCGCTTCCAAGCTTCAGCCGCGGCCGGCTGGTTCCGGTGACATGTGATTCGGTCAGGAGAAGGAGTTGGGGCCGGAGTTTGCGATGTCCATCTTGAGCAAGGAGGACCTTGAGCATGTCAGCCAGGGATCCCTGCAAGGTTCCACACGTCTCTTTTGGGTGTTTTTAAACGTCACCAAATAAGACCTGCTTTTCTTTTCCAGATCCTTGGTTCGCGCAATTTGTTCGTTTAGCAAGCGACCTTCCTTGATTGAGCCTCAAATTTGCTCAAACACAATGGCGAAGTGGAACCGCAACCATGCACCGGCAGCATCACGGACATCGTCGGCATTGGAATACCATCATCCAACCATTGCAAGACTGCAAGACCAGCAGCAAGAGAGACGACCTATACAGTACAACACCAGCATTCAACCATTGCAAGACCAGCATCTTGGTGCAGGTGCTTCCTCGCAACTTCCAATTTTGTGTTTTCCATCTTCGGCCCATCTAAGGTGAGTTCCCCCCGGCAGGGGTGATGTTTTACAGGGGAAATGTACATACATACAATATACATATATATATATATATATATATAGGGGAACCTGTCATAGGTTCGAAACTTGTCACGAGATTGCTGATCTGGCGGTAAACCGCATGGCGAAGGTCCCTCCCTCGGGGTTTGCCCGCGACAATCGGGTCGGCGCCCTTTCCGTGGTCCATGATTGGGAGGTACCGGGCGCTTCTTACTAATGCCCTTTGCGATGTGTCACTTGTTGTACACATTATCTATTTACAACGAGCGCCCCTGGGGGAAAGACAAGTTCGTCCATGATGTACCTGCTTCCGGATTCTCCACTTGAGGTTGGCGAATACTGAAACAATGCAGATGATTTTGACTGCTCCCGGGGAAAGTATCAAAGTCAGAAACAGAGGCCCCGCTCCCGGCCATGCCCTTCAGATTCTTGGAGGTTGGAGGGATTCATGACATATCCCACCGATTTGTTTGACTAGCAAGAGACCAAGGCAACACGACGTGTGAAGCCAAGAAACAAACATGCCTAGGCCTAGCCTGGTGTCAAAGATATGGCCAGTTGGCCCGGGGCGAAGCTCGCGATGGCCAGGAGTTCTTGCGCTTCAAAGCGCAGACCGCCAGCAAGCCTCCGCCTCCCGAGCCTAAGGCGCGTGGTTTGGGACGGCAGACGGCAGGCTTTGACTTTCACCGACGCCGGAAGGGCTTCTCCTGCTGAATGAAGATCATGTCGTGCGGATGGCGCGCGTTTTTTTGGTTGGGCGTTCCTTTGTTTGTTTGCATCAACGACTTAAAAGCGCGTCGCGATCTAGGGCGATCCGACGCTCGCAGCCTGCAGGGAAGCAACATGAAGCGCTGTGTTCCGTCGTGTTGCCAGCCTGTGAGCCGGAACCGAAACACAGAGATGCACGGCAGTTGGTCTAACGCCTGCAATCAAGCAGGAAGACAGCAACAAGCGGACCTGCCATCAGGGCATGTTGAAGCAGTCAAAGGAGCAATCACTGCATAGAGCCAGCAAAGGGTTTGTTGGGTGGAAATTAGTGTTTTCCCAGCAAGTGAGACGTTTGCGGAGCAGTTCAGCCACCCAGAAAACACCAGCATGCACCCCATACGACCCAGACAGGTCTTGGTATGCTTCAAACACGCTATTGAGGACACGGACCCAGAAACCAGCACGGGCCAGCAATTGTTTGAAACCAAACAAGAGCCAAGTTGTTCGTCCCTTCTTTTTGGTCGGTGCTCAAAAGATCCAACTCCACAAAGAAACAGTTCGCTTTGCCAGGGTCACTCAACCAGAAGACACACCCACGCACGCAGGAGGCGCTGTGGTCGCGGGGAGATGAAGATCTCTCAGACGTCTTTGTGAGGTTATGTCCCAACAAGCCGCGCAAGGCGCGGGGCTGCTTTGTGATCTCCGGTGAAGTTATGTGTGCCACCTTCAGAGGAAGCCACTGTTCAGGCAATATGGGAGTTTTTTTTTGAGGGTACCCTTTTCATGTGTTTTTGAGGGCACCTTCTTGCAGGTTCTTTCTTGTGAAGGCGACAAGGAAATCAATAATTTTGGAGCATGCCCCTATTCGGGTGATTGAAATTGGGAAAGAAGCGTTCCAAAGATTTGTCCAAGAAGGTCGTTTCAAAAGGACAGCTGTTTGACTAGAAGGGTTCTCTTTTCACCAGGCCGTGCATGCAGTGGAGCTAAGATGATCTAAGCCCCGCATGAACACATGGCTGAGATATCCCTTCTAGTGCCACCCTCAAATCCTTCTCAAGGTATGTAAACAACACAAGCATATCACGTTGAACACTTCCACCATCCAGGTAGTTTTGCTCGTGGGTGTCTAATACCTCTTTGTATACTCAGAGCACCCTCGTGGTTCCTCGGTGTTTGCGGGCCATGCAAAGAAGAACAAGCAATCCTACGGTTGCGCTGGATGATCAGAGATTTGCTGGCAGTTGCTGTGGAATGCTCGGGGTCGTTTGGTCGTCTTATTTAGCTGATTGCGCACAAGCCCGCGGTTTTCCTCTTGGGCTGTGGGGGCTTTCCGGCATGGCAACTTCAAACCAGTTCCAGGAATTTCGCGGGAGCCTTCCTGACTGGAGCCACCTCTGTTGCCCCCACATGCTTGATTCGCGGCCAAGGCTAGTGAAGCTTAACCAGCAAGTATTCTTGAACAGAAATCCATTGACTCCGAAATTGAAGAACATATTGTCAAACACGCTACATGTGCCATCAATTGGGTTACGCATTAAATGGGTTCTAACAAATGGTTCCTTTCGGATGTTAAACACATGGCTATCCTGTGCAAACTGGAACATCAGTTCAACATTGCTTGAAACCCAAGGTCCCTTGTAACTGTTTCATCAGCCCTGTTTACAAGACCACTGAAGTGCCAGGTTTTCTATTCCCATCATTCTCTAACCCTACTCGCATGTTCCTCAGATGAGATACACCATAGCAAAGATCTACCGGAGCGTTGAGTGACGAGTGTATCGCCCTTCGGGACAAACAGACCTCCTGAATTGCATAGACCCTTTCCAAGAATTGAAGGAAAGTTGGGCGCGGTAGGCCCATTGGTTTTCCCCAAACCTTTAGCACCCATCCCCAAGAACTTCCTTCCCACTGCTCGCGCGGGTTGGAAAACCCGCGGCTTTGCCAGGCGGGGTTCTTTGGCGCAAGGCTGTCGGGACGGCCTGCGCTCCTGGAACGGCGTTGAATCCTCACACAACGATGGCAACAGCCTAGGGTCGTGTGTGTTTTGAGCGCACCATTAATCCAGGTTTGTTAGGGAGACCAACATGAAAACACAAATCATCACCACCCCCTTAAAAATAAAAATTGGGGGGTACCTAAGGTCTTAAAAACAAAATAAATAAAACACATATTTTATTCCTGGACCCCCCGGACACATGAAGATTGATATGTGTTTGGATGTCTCTACACGGATGCCATAACATAACAGATCATATAGAATGCATGTGAATATGTGAAAGTACATATGCGGGTATACCCACATATACCCATATGGACAGCGTTTTGGTTAAGGAATGAAGACGACCATAGCTTCGATCTACTTGCTAGGACTATTTGGGGTCATCCTGCAAGAAGCTGGCATGGCCTTTATAATGCACGGCCCCTCTTTCGACAACTGGTCGGCGTCTCTGGACGAGAGAAGGTCATTACGTGCCATGTTTGATCACTGGTATCAGCTGCGCAGTTTTGATGGGATAGGCATCAAAAAAACTTATTAGGCATCAAAAAAAACTTATTTGGCATCAACAAAAACTTATTAGGCATCAAAAAAAACTTATGCTCATTCCTATGGGGGGAAGGAAGGAAGGAAGGAAGGAAGGAAGGAAGGAAGGAAGGAAGGAAGGAAGGAAGGAAGGAAGGAAGGAAGGAAGGAAGGAAGGAAGGAAGGAAGGAAGGAGGAAGGAAGGAAGGAAGGAAGGAAGGAAGGAAGGAAGGAAGGAAGGAAGGAAGGAAGGACCCCCCCCCCAACCACCCCGCTGATTTGTAGAAGGTTGACAGTGATTAACGCGCCCCCCCCAACCCCCCCGCTGATTTAATGCTGCGCCTGCGTCAAACTCTGCACCGCATTGCGAAAGCGCTGCGCCTGCCGCGAAATTGGTACCTCTTGCGAAAGTGCTGCGCCTGCCGCGAAATCTGGACCGCACCTTGCGAAAGTATTGCACCTGCCGCGAATCTGTACCTGACCTTGCTAAAGTGCTGCGCCTGCTGCGAAATCTGAATCTGTACCTGACCTTCCTCACCCACCCCGCTGATTTGTAGAAGGTTGACAGTGATTAACGCACCCTTTGCTGAATCATCACTTCTTCGAGCATCACTGCCGCCCCCCCCAACCCCCCCGCGCAGAGATTTTCGCTGAATCATCACTTCTTCGATCATCACCACCCTTTGTTGAATCATCACTTCTTCGAGCATCATGGGGGGGGCTGCCGCCCCCCCAACCCCCCTGCTGATTTGTAGAATGCTTACAGAGCTTTCCGCCCCCCTTCGTTGAATCTTCACTTCCTCGAACATCATGGGGGGGCTGCCGCCCCCCCCAACCCCCCCGCTGATTCAATGCTGCGCCTGCGTCAAACTCTGCACCGTATTGCGAAAGTGCTGCGCCTGCCGCGAAATTGGTACCTCTTGCGAAAGTGCTGCGCCTGCCGCGAAATCTGGACCGCACCTTGCGAAAGTATTGCACCTGCCGCGAATCTGTACCTGACCTTGCTAAAGTGCTGCGCCTGCTGCGAAATCTGAATCTGTACCTGACCTTCCTCACCCACCCCGCTGATTTGTAGAAGGTTGACAGTGATTAACGCACCCTTTGCTGAATCATCACTTCTTCGAGCATCATGGCGGGGGCTGCCGCCCCCCCCAACCCCCCCGCTGATTTTCAGAATGTTTGCAGAGATTACCGCACCCTTCGCTGAATCATCACTTCTTCGATCATCACCACCCTTTGTTGAATCATCACTTCTTCGAACATCATGGGGGGGCTGCCGCCCCCCCAACCCCCGCGCTAATTTCATGCTGCGCCTGCGTCAAACTCTGCACCGTATTGCGAAAGTGCTGCGCCTGCCGCGAAATTGGTACCTCTTGCAAAAGTGCTGCCCCTGCGGGGCTGCCGCCCCCCCCAACCCCCCCGCTGATTTAATGCTGCGCCTGCGTCAAACTCTGCACCGTACCTTGCGAAAGTGCTGCGCCTGCTGCGAAATTGGCACCTCTTGTGAAAGTGCTGCGCCTGCCGCGAAATGTGGACCGCGCCTTGCGAAAGTCCTGCATCTGCCGCGAATCTGTCCCTGACCTTGCAAAAGTGCTGCGCCTGCGAAATCTGGCTGACCTTCCGAAAGTATTGCGCCTGCCACGAAATCTGTACCTGACCTTGCGAAAGTGCTGCGCCTGCTGCGAAATCTGCACCGCGCCTTGCGAAAGCGCTGCGTCTGCCGCGAAATCTGTACCTGACCTGTAAAAGCATTGCGCCTACCTTGCGAAAGTGCCGCGCGTGCCACGAAATCTGTACCTGACCTTGCGAAAGTGCTTCCTGAAATGAATAAGTTTTTTTTGATGCCTATAAAGTTCCTTTTTGATCGTCTGTTTTTTCATTTTTAAGTGTAAGTCAATGAGCATAAGTTTTTTTTGATGCCTAATAAAAAATGTTTATCTTTAGAAATAAGTGTTTTTGATGCCTAAAAAGTTTTTTTTGATCCCTCACCCAGTTTTGCATGGTGTCCTCAGGCCGCCGCCTGCCGGCGCATTGTGCGTCAGGCAGGCAGGCAGGCGGCAGCAGGCGGGCGGGCGGGCGGGCAGGCAGGCAAGCAGGCAGGCAGGCAGGGCAGGCAGGGCAGGCAAGCAGGCGCATCAATGTTGCCCGCGAGGTCCGCCACGCGATCCGCTCAATGTTAAAACGTACCCTGTTTCCGAATTGGCTCATACAGTCCAAGGACAGAGGCAAGGCGAAGGCACAAAGCTCAGAGGAAGGCTATTACGAAGCTGGCAACATGGTGTGGGAGGCCCTGTACTGGCTCGGCGGCCTCTACATGTTGCCCTTCAGCTCAGGCCTGGTTGAGGACCGGTCGCGGAATATGCGCATCCCAACTGACACATATGGGACTGCCAGCAACAACTTTAATGCCCATGGAAACACAATCGAATCGCTGTTTGGGTTTCTTTTCGCAAGATTGGGCACTGATGCGCAGCAGAGTGGACCTGGCAAACGAAAGAGGTGAACGGCTCCGGAGATTGCAAAAGGCTTTACGTCCTGGGGTCGTCATTGAGGAAGCATTTTAATTTTGTTGAAGGGGTAAAGTTTTACTTGATGCTCACGATGAGGGTGTTACAGAAGAGAGGGAGACGTGTGTTGTAAATTTTCCAGAGAAGAGGGCGCAAGTCACACGACAGTGCTGCAGCTCTCACATGACCGATTTTACTGGAGCCCTAAAACCCGGCCTAACACCCTAAACTCTAAACCGCTTCGGTCGTGGCGTGAAAGGTCAGGGATTCCCAAAATTAGAGGTGTGTAATTTTTGGCAGTGAGGCGCTTCGCCCCTGTCCTGTTGGGTTTGTTCCTGGCACTGAGGCGCATCGCCCGTGCCAGGAAAGGTTGAAGGATTCCCAAAATTAGAGGTGTGTAACTTTGGCAGTGAGGCGCTTCGCCCCTGTCCTGTTGGGTTCGTTCCTGGCACTGAGGCGCTTCGCCCGTGTCAGGAAAGGTCAAACAATTCCCAAAACCTAGAGAACCCTGCACCCTAAACCCGAGACTCAAACCCTACACCCTGAACCCTAGACTCTAAACCTGAAACCCTGCACCCTGCACCCTAAACCCGAGACTCAAACCCTACACCCTAACACCCTAAACTCTAAACCGCTTCGGTCGCGGCGTGAAAGGTCAAGGATTCCCAAAATTAGAGGTGTGTAATTTTTGGCAGTGAGGCGCTTCGCCCCTGTCCTGTTGGGTTTGTTCCTGGCACTGAGGCGCTTCGCCCGTGCCAGGAAAGGTCGAAGGATGTCGAAGGATTGCCAAAATTAGAGGTGTAACTTTGGCAGTGAGGCGCTTCGCCCCTGTCCTGTTGGGTTCGTTCCTGGCACTGAGGCGCTTCCCCGTGTCAGGAATGGTCGAAGAATTCCCAAAACCTAGAGAACCCTGCACCCTAAACCCGAGACTCAAACCCTACACCCTGAACCCTAGGCTCTAAACCTTAAACCCTGCACCCTAAACCTAAACTCTAAACCGCTTCGGTCGTGGCATGAAAGGTCAAGGATTCCCAAAATTAGAGGTGTGTAATTTTTGGCAGTGAGGCGCTTCGCCCCTGTCCTGTTGGGTTTGTTCCTGGCACTGAGGCGCTTCGCCCGTGCCAGGAAAGGTTGAAGAATTCCCAAAACCTAGAGAACCCTGCACCCTAAACCCGAGACTCAAACCCTACACCCTAAACCCTAGACTCTAAACCATAAACCCTGCACCCTGCACCATAAACCCGAGACTCAAACCCTACACCCTAACACCCTAAACTCTAAACCGCTTCGGTCGTGGCATGAAAGGTCAAGGGTTCCCAAAATTGAAGTGTGTAATTCTTGGCAGTGAGGCGCTTCGCCCCTGTCCTGTTGGGTTCGTTCCTGGCACTGAGGCGCTTCGCCCGCGCCAGGAAAGGTCGAAGGATTCCCAAAAGTAGAGGTGTGTAATTTTTGGCAGTGAGGCGCTTCGCCCCTGTCCTGTTGCGTTTGTTCCTGGCACTGAGGCGCTTCGCCCGTGTCAGGAAAGGCCGAAGAATTCCCAAAACCTAGAGAACCCTGCACCCTAAACCCGAGACTCAAACCCTACACCCTAAACCCTAGACTCTAAACCATAAACCCTGCACCCTGCACCATAAACCCGAGACTCAAACCCTACACCCTAACACCCTAAACTCTAAACCGCTTCGGTCGTGGCATGAAAGGTCAAGGATTCCCAAAATTAGAGGTGTGTAATTCTTGGCAGTGAGGCGCTTCGCCCACCTGTCCTGTTGGGTTCGTTCCTGGCACTGAGGCGCTTCGCCCGTGTCAGGAAAGGCCGAAGAATTCCCAAAACCTAGAGAACCCTGCACCCTAAACCCGAGACTCAAACCCTACACCCTAAACCCTAGACTCTAAACCATAAACCCTGCACCCTGCACCATAAACCCGAGACTCAAACCCTACACCCTAACACCCTAAACTCTAAACCGCTTCGGT